TGTGTTATCTTCCACTGAGAAATAGGGCTGGTAAGTGCCTGCCATTCAAGCGTTTCTGCTCAACATTCAGGGGACACGAAAGAGGGGAAGGACATGAAATGGCCCTTGAGGCGATTTTGCGAACAATTGCAATTGTTCTCCCCCCTCCCAGAGATAATTCGCGTAGAATCCTCAGTCATCTCCAAAAATAGTTGTTTGGGTTGGGGTGGAAAACGGGTCAGTCGAGTTTGTTCCTTTGCCTTGGTGTGGTTGTGAGAAAAGGAAGCTCTACCCAAAACGTGCCCCAAAACCAAGTCATCTTAGATTCTGTCCGATCGTCGAGATGTGACTGCCATCGACTGGGACTGTGTTATTTGAGTTCTTTCTCAAATAAATTATTTTCAGATAACGCTGCATCATGTGGTACATACAATATATTGTTCGGATGTCAACACTCGCTAAATTGTATGTCCCTGTCCTGTCCACCAATAATCACAATATTTGTGAACGTGAAAAATGCAAGCCTTTCGGCTATCTTCTGTTGGGAATTATTTTCGACAGCTAAGCGCTTTGTCGTTTGACACACAACTAATCGGGCAGCGCTGTCAAAGCTTATCGTAAAAAAACGCATAAAAAACGACAATTAGCATTTTAGTTGCATTCGTTCTGTTGCGTGCATACCCAACAAAAGTAGATAAGGTTTTTTTTTTTAAATGTGGTAGAATGGTTTCTTAATGTCCTCGGGAAAATACATGTATGCCATAAAACACGAAATACAGCGGGAAAAGATGAGAATTTAGCCGCCAGCAGTGTTTGAAACTGCGACTGCGGAGGATGTGCCTATCGAAATCACAGTCTGCTAAGTTAGGGTTAGCAGGGACGCCGATGAGAGTCTAGCCTCAAACCCAGTGACTGGGCTCGAAAACGGTTTGCTGCCCCTGGGGTCGAGTGTTTCTTGGAAAGCTGTATAATCACGTGACTGGCCACTATGTTCGCATGGTGCTTGCGTTTTTTTGGGAGCTTCATATGGGCTCTAAAAATTATGTATTAATCTTCGTTTGAAATGCACGAAATCATGACAATAGGTGACCGGCGTTTGAGCCGGAAGTTTCGTCATCCGAAGCGAGGCACCACGTGACTTCACGCTTCCGGTTCGTCCGGTGCCGGTCGTGGTTCGTCCAGCTGCATCGAGAGCCCTTCTAGGCGTGGTAGCCAAGCTGTTTTCGCGGTGAAAATGGTTTACAGCTCCGCGGTACGTTCTAACGCTAGCCATAGAGGGCATAAGATGTTCCAGTTCCCGTGAAACAAAGCGTGGAAGCAACGATGGGCCGTCGCTGTTAAGCGAGTGCTGGAGCGCGGTTGACCTGTGACAGACAAACGTCGGTGACCGTTTATGCGCGGCCAATATTGTTACAGGCCAGTACAACGTGTTCTTTCTTTCTTCAGGTAGGGGCCGCGGGAAATAACGATCTCTAACAGTTTTTTGCCACCCACCAAAGAGGTCTCGAATAACCCGCGAAGGGGTGAGCACTGCTTGTCGTAGAAGGCATCCGCGAGACGCGGGATTTGATCTCGCAGAGAATCAGTTCATGGCACGACGTTTCTTCGACATACAGTGCCATCGCCAGGCCGTTTAATCGTTACATCGACAGGCTCGGATTAACATTTTCTGTGATGAGCCGCCGCAGACTGTTCCCGCGAAGCGGCGTGAATGGGTGGCTCGCTATAATATAAATAAACAAAAGGACAGGTCAGCTTTCTGTAATATAAAGAAACAAAAGCAAATGGGAAGCACCTTCATATTGACTGATAATAAAGCGGTATACGACCCTGCGTAGCTCATATCAAAATCGGTGCTTGTTTATGCATGCTTTCTTACTTGACATCATTAAAAAAACGTGCGGGGGAGGGGGGAAAGGGGAGGGTTATGGTAGTTCACGGTTGAAGTACCAAAAACGCGTGAGTGTTAAAAAGCAAGCATTGTCACGTAGTCAGATATCGTCAAAACTAACTTTTGTACGGAAGTGGCGTTTCAATCGCCCGAGAAAACATATTAGCTGAGTTTGAAACGCCGTCTGACCGACTTCTTTCCCTGTCTTCAACTTTTGGTTGCCTAAAGATTTTCCTACCCAGGGTCAGTTGTTCTAACAACATGAGAAAAGTACGCCAGACCTCCGATCGGGCATTTCAGCTGGCCGCGTCCCACGGCTTACATTCGCGCCTATTTCAGTCGGTGATGTGATCTAACGTAACCATAAAAAATTAACAGAACCCAAATAAAAAACGCTGGCTCGAAAGGAAAACGAAACATCTAACCTGCGTTTTCATGCGAAGATCCGGAAAGCGCGGTGCGAGTGCCGCTTGCCGCCGGCCGCACTCGCTCTGCGCTTTCGTGGCCGTTCTCGATTCTTCTGCGTACCGATTACTACTTAACATATCCGTAGAACTAACTTGAGACGTTCAGAAGTGCGTAAGTCACCCAGCAGCAGAAGAAGGTGGCCCGGATTGATCGGGTTTCAACACCCGCACACGCTTCCATAGCCGTCATGGGGCTGCGTCGGCTGCTAGCTACGAACCGGAAGTGAATATTACCCAGAGTGCTTTGAGGCTGCTGCCAAACGCCGGTCACCTATTAATAAGGCCCGCTTCAGACGGGGCAACTTTTCCAGCAATTTTGAGATTGCTGGCGGGTTGTTCCCTAGCTTTCCCTAGATCGACGCGAATTGCTGAGATCGGGTCCAGCTCGAACAAGCGAGCAACTCGGAGCAATTCGAAGACCGTTGAAGCGGCTGCAGCCAATCAAAGACGCAATATTTTCACGTGACACCCTGTGGTGGCGATGATGACAGCTAAAGACTTAGTTCTGATTTGGCATGGATCGTTTTCGGAAATAAACAGTTTCAGAAAAATGAGTTAGTACTCTCTTTGACGTTCAAAGACATAAGAACGCGTTTTTAGCGCGTAGCTGGGCGTCTAAATAGTGAAAGAAGAATCAAACTTAATGATGATGATGGCAAGTCGGAGCAATTCGGTTGCTGTGTGTGAACGCGGGCGGCCGGTGTTGCTGGTGTGATGGATGAAAACAAAATTTAACCAGTTTTCAAGGTTTCTTTGATACAGAAGAAAAAACTGCAGCAGGCAATCGAATCCAAGTTGGGTGCTGTTCTTGGAGCTTCATCACCTTCATTTTCCACCACAAGTTTTTGGGATTAAAGCTTGGCCACAGGCACACGAGGGATAAACCACATTCAGGACGTCCAAAAATCGCTACCGCACCAGAAATTGCGGGTGAAATTCATGACGTGGCTTGAGCAGAACGCCGAATAAGAGTGCATTGAATTCATGAAGTCGAGGGCATTTTTGAGGAACGAGTTGTCTTCCTGTCTGGGCCTGGCTTAGGCAGGCTGTTGGGCATTGCCATGTTGGGGCACGTCCCAGATGTGAGGCAAGGCTGTATTCTCTTGTGGATGGCTCTCCCTCACCCTTCTCGGGTGACTTGCCTTAGGCACACCCTTCGGGACCTTGATACTTGGACGCATCCGCCCCTCCGCGGATTGAACCTACTGCCGACAACTCGGGCGCGTCCATTCTTGCAGGCTATCGACGGTGGCCCTAAAGGACGGCCGGGGGCCCTCGCCGGGGGAGGGCCTTGCTCCACGGAGCTCTGTTTGAGGCTCTTCTCCCATCCGTGATTGTCTATTGCGACAGCGTGAAGTTCGACCGGTGATCCTGTCAGATTGAGACATCGCCAATACTTCTGACTTTATTGAGGGCACAGCTTGTTGGCACTTGAGTCATTAAAGGGTCCCTGGTAGGACTTTTTTACTGGTGTTAGTTTGCAGCGAACCTGAGCGCACTGAACGTAGTAACTTAATACAAGTTTCCTTTTCTCGAATTTTGCTTTATCTTAAAAGTTATAGGCAAATTAAAATTACAAGAACAAGCAAAAAATAACCTCCTTCATGACGTCCCTTGGTCGCTTGAGTGACTGAACTGGAGGAGGGGTAGTGAGCTCAGCGAGCGCTCATGGCTGCCGCACTCCGTGTCGACGGCTCGAGAGGGCGCCACTAAACCACGTGTTGGATAGGCTGTATTAAACGGGCAGCCAGGGCGGCTCGCACTTCATTTGTTTTGCAATTAAACACTAATTCAGCATGACACTTCATTGGCCACAAACGACAGCAAACACGGGGTAAAGATCAGTCGGAACGGGAGCCACTTCGTGCTGCCATACCGCCAAACCTGCTTACCGAATTAGCCGAAGGCCTTTGGAACGCTCGGAACCGGTTGGATCCTCGACCGCATGCGCCGCCCTTTCCACCGCTTAGTGGCGGGTATGTCAACGGGTCATTTCTTGTTTCCATACTTTATAAAGTGCATTTGTTTCTTTCCTGACCTCAAATACTGAAGAAAAACTACTTTCATAAATAATTGAAACGGTTCGCGCCACTTATATTTTGTACTTTGACAAAAAAGCTTTTAGTGGCTCTGACCAGTAGTAAGCCCAGGCCCAAAGTCTCCTCATATCGAGCGCTTTCGGCACTGCGGGTCGCCCCCGTAGGTGGAGGAGGTTTCCGCGTCGTCCGGTTAAAATATGACACATTGATATTTAGTTACTCTTTCCGTGCCCGCTGGCTTGCCCGAACCCCAAGAGACGTGGAAATCGCGAAAAGGGTAGATGCGTAAAGAGGATTGCAGGGCCCCTTTAAGTATGTCACTCTATGGACCTGCAGACCAACTGTGTTATTAGTGGCACCCCAACAAAAGGGAAACCCACAACCTCCAGAAATTGTTCTCTAGTTCCCCTCATTGGTACCCTGCGAGGAGTGTGTCATTCATAAACAGGACTTCCTCTTCCTTTTCTTGTCAAGGTTGATGTCTTCACGTCGGGACAAGTGTGGCGAAATTTCACTTGCCGTCCCTAGAAGTACCCAAGAAGCACACGGAGACAATATTGCAGCCGGCACCTGTTCGGTAGCAGTTGCACCAGTTGCCCGACCGCGGATCTTTACGTCTTTCAGATCTGTCCTCGCTTCTCCCTCAAGCCGGCATGAGCTACTCGCCCTACCAACCAGGGACCGCTCCGGGCTACCCACCCCCCTCCCAAGGCTACCCAGCCCCGGGCTTTGGGGCCGAGCAGGGCTACCCACCTCCGACCCAGGGCTACCCGCCTCCGTCCCAGGGCTACCCACCTCCGGCACAGGGTTATCCACCGCCGGCACAAGGCTACCCTCCTCCCGGGATGGGCTACCCCACCCCGCAGGGGGACATGGCATACGGGGGACCGCCGATCACGCAGCCCCCGTCCGCGTCGCAGGGAGGCTATCCTGCCCCCGAAATGGGTGAGTCAGTACGCTCCGTCTGTTCAGCACCTCCCAGATAACAAGGGCGGGGTACGGTGCTTGCATCTTCAACCAGTGTGTTTACTGTCCTTCCACACCCGTGCACGACCACCCATGAACACTGGTCCCGAAGTGGCAACAAACTACGTCGCAGGAGCCGGAGTGTCGGGCGTCGGATTCCTGGCAGTTGGTCGTAGAAATGCCGGCGGAAAAGAAGAGAGGACGCAAGGGTTGCTATTGGAGGCGTGTGTTGAGACACTAGCTTCGTTCAATTTACTTGCACTAATGGGGAAAAGTGTAGGGCAGTCTAATTCCGGTATGTGCATTGAGATACGACCGGAAGTATGCTGCCCTAGACGTTTCTGCATCGGTGCAGGTAAATGGAACGCAGCTAGTGGCACCATGGTGCGACTCGAAGCGGAAGCATTTTGCATAGAGCACGACCATACTAGTATCGACATCATGTGTGGAAGCCAACTTTTCTAATCAATGTCAGCTTACCTGGGCTCGGCACTATACATAACATTCGGGACTACGGTTGGCGCAAATTTTTTCCCTCAAGACCCGTAAAATGAGAACACGGATCCTCTCCATGCACCGTCGAAAAGCGCCGCGATTGTCTCTATCACAGTATGTCTACTCGATCCATCAGCAAGCAAAGAGCAACAATCTGATAATGAAAAGAATGAAAAATACTTGTCGCGTAAATTTTATCGATTAGTTGCAGTGGTGAATGTCATCTGTTAGTGATCTCCCGACCGTCGAATGCACAAACGGTTCGTAGGAACATCTTCTGATGCAGACAAAAAAAAAAAAAGTGGCAGTACGCTGCTGCCGTTGTTGCTGCTCACGACTACGGGACACGCGACTCCTGTGGGTCAGACGACAGAGAACAGTTCCGGAGCAACGTTGGACATGGGCGGATTTCGAATATGTCGAGGTGCCAAACTTTTACTTCGGAGTGAAACCGAGAAACGCAGCCACTGGAAGAAGTGGACGCATGCCAAGACGCTGCGGTTGCATTAGAATGGGTCGGAGCGGGGGGCGCTCCACCATGCAATGTGACGTGGACGCCGTCACCGGTGGCGTTGCAGAGCGGCGTGCTCCCCCATAGACATTGCGGCGTCCAATCTCGTGTCTGGTCTCCCTCGACTAGTCGGCAGAATGGGTGTCTGCTGCGTTGATGTCCACCACTGCGCAACTGCCAAGATTGTGACGCAGCACGATGCTTCAACGACGTCGGGCAAGAATCGAGGGACCAGGTTGGGGGACTCGACGAACGCACCGGTCAGACACTAAGACTACAGTACTTGGAGTGCCGTAGTCGTTGTGCTGGCTTTTTTATGTCGCCCACTGTAGGCCGGCGCAGGACGCAGTTCAGACGCGATTGCTGCATCGGCGTTCGTCAGGGACTAGTGTCCTCGGTGATTTGACGCGAGTCCCGGCCTATCGCCGATGCGGCACTTCTGTCCGATTCGTGTCCCGTGCTGGCCTCCGGTGGGAGTCGTAGAAAAGTCGGCGCTGTAGCCTTGTTCTCTAGAGTCGGAGTCCCCATTCTTGTATAGGAGGGCCAGTTGCATGGTGTGTGTCCCGTAGGATTACGGAGAGCTACAAACGTCTTTGATTTTCTCGACTCTCGGTGGACAAATTTTATCGGATTTCCCGAACCCCGGGTGGTCTTGCAGCGTTAATTCTAGAAATGAATTCTGCGCTTAGCTACCAATGCGGCGTGCAAAAATATGAAAAAAAAAAAAAAAAGAAACGATAAAGCTGTGTGAGGTGCACATTACAAAACCTCCTTGAACATGACTCGAGACAAACTGGGGCATCAAAGAGGGGTTTGCACGGCAATATGTCACCAACATTCATATGTAATACTTGGGAATATGTTTGTGGATGGCACTGCTGCATTCGCCTTGGAAGTCTGCTTTCTTAGCTTCATAATGATAATAATAATATTAAACTTTAGTTCTGATTTGAAATACATGAATGGTATTTCGAATGGAGTACAAACCTACTCAATTTATTTCTCAGCAGAAATGCGTGGGAACAAGATTCTGTTGAAGATATTTTTAGGAAGAAAGAGTCAACAACTTTGTGAAATCGAAAAGTGTATTCGTGCTTCGGTCTATTATTTCAGTAATGCTTACGAGTTAAAAAAAAGGAATTTTTGAGCAGTTAAATCTCCAGTAAGAAAAATCCTGATCTCAAAATTGGGAAATTAACTGTGAGGTACAACCAAGTTTTCTTTTATATTTTTAATTAAACGATCCCCAACTTAAACTGTTCTGTTTTTGCTGAGAATAAGGTTCAAAGTGTAGACATAGAAAAATACACTGGCTGCACTTTTTTTTGGACACAGTCTGTAATAATAATATAAAGTAAATGTTTGAGTGTTTTTCATATAGGTGCAACCCCTGCTTAAAAAATTGGTGTAAGTGCATAATCCCGAGTAAAAGTGTGATGGTCTGGTTATTAGAAATGTTTCTTTGCGTGCTTGAGTCGTCCTTGTTGCCTATCCTAAAAGAACGCAGCATTATTTTGACCGTTTTTACTACCAACCCTTGTCCAGTGTGTTGGAAGGTTTTAGGAATATGATACTCATTGTAGACAAATGGGAGGTTTAATTTTCTTTGTTTATTCTTTACCACCGATCCTCACCAAACTTATTTGGCGCACATTCATTCCTGTTTTTTTGCTAAATACTGAAAACTGGAAACCCTATGTTAATAGTTTGAGTTGAGTGTTTTCAGAGTAATTCAGAAAACTCGAAGGCCCTATTTGCAGTTCATCTTATGCGGGTTCATCTGGTCATTTTTGGTTTTTTAGATTTTCAGTAATTGGATAAGAGCCTGTAGTTTTTTTTGTGTCATGTGATTGCTGCCAATTTTAAAACTTACAACGGGGTTGAGTGGAAATACTACCGTAAAATCCCGAAAGGGCAACCACCTTTTTGCCAGGGATAGTTGTAGCAAAAAGTGAGGGAAGTCATGTTTTGGGAGTCAACTCCAAAAACCACAAAAAATATGAGAAACGGCAGGTTTCTTTGTGCCTTTATTCTCGCTAATCCTCGTTGCTAAATCCATGGAAGGAAACATCACTGCCGCTTTCAAAAATTAAGTCCAAGGCCTCGTCCACCAGGCTCTCGTGTCCCCCGGGGTCCCGCCTCTGCCGCATCGTCCTCCGACACCAAACAGTCATTGAGTCCGCCGTCCTCCGTTCCATCGAGGCTTGTTGAAACGTCGTACCTCCTGAAGGACCGCCGCACCGTTTCCTCGGAGAGGGAGGCCCATGCCTCTGTCACAAAGTCTACGACGTTCTGCCTAGGCAGTCTCTTGGAATTTCCCTTGGGAGTCAGCTCGCCCTCCTGGTAGAACACGTCCCAACACTCGCGCAACGCACCCTTGAATGGTTTTATGCAAAAATGTTGGTGGGCTGCAGTATTGATGCGCAGCTGCCTGGTATCAGGGCTACGTCTGCGTCCCTGGCGTAGAGAGCTACTTGGGCAGCCTCAGTTTTAGGAATCGGCACCTGGTCTAGCACGAGGAGCCTTCACGCGTCGTTAACATTTGGTCCCCAGACCCTGCGCATCCACTCTTGGAGGACGGCAGAGGTCGTCCACCCGTTTCTAGATGATGGGACCCGCACATTTCCTGAAAAGAATACCAGTACAAAACTAATTGACAACTTGGAACTGATTGACTTACGAAAGCGCATGCGGTAAGAAAGCACAAAGGCAACAGGCCTCAAACACAGCCGGTGGATACCTGCGGCCTACCCACTGGGCGTACCTAACAGCCTGACCATTGCAATGGGGCAGTGGCTGCACCATCTTTTGTGGCTATGGCGAAGCAAGACGAAATTGTTGTGGCCCTAGGGCAGGTGTGGCCAGGCTGACCCAGCCAAAGAGCCTCAAACAAAACCACGAAACTTCCAAGAGCCGCACAGGGGTGGGGGGGGGACGATTTTGTCCAGAGCAATAAGTAACACTCTATCTACTTTCGATCCAGCTGAACGTAAGGTAGCAGTAGCACAACACTACCAACCCGCAACCTGCTTTTCGATTTAAAACGCGTTCCATTTCTTTTTTGGGGGAAGTGCTCGTGTGTCCGGGAGGGAGGCGGGGGAAAGGGGGGGGGGGGGAGGTTAGGGGAGGGGGCCGCAAGCCGCACTTTAACGAGCGAAAAGCCGCAGCTTGGCCGCCTCTGCTCTGGGGTAACTAATAGCACCACAATCAGACTTTTCTTTTTTTTTTTGTAAGTTTTAGGGGGCGGTTTATGGTGGGGTGGTTTTATAGTTTTTGTTTCTGTCTTCAGTGATGTGATTGCTGCGCCAATTGCGGCAAACTGCGCCAAGGGGCTAAACCTGCTACATCCTGCTACATTTTGCCAAAATATGGGTAATCTGCGCCAAGCCTGCGCCAAAGGACCAGTTTTGGTCGCCTTTCAAAACTGAAACTAAACTGAGTATGCGTGAGCTAGGTGGCGCAAGCGGCCACCGGACACAAAGTACTCTGCATCAATCGTGACATTGTAACCCTGGAGCCGGGGAAAAGAAGGGACATAGGACAGGCAAAAAACTCCAATCTCAGTATTGAACCAGCTTGCCTGCACCTTTGCTTTAGTTACATCAATCGCCCATCCTGTCTCGCATGGTTTTTCCCGCCGTCTCTTTCACGCTCTCGTCGTCTCGTGAATGTCATCTCGCATTTTTTTTTTTTAAGTTTTCCAACGATAGATGGTGGGCATGTGCGGACGCTTGTACGCTAACGTGCTGGGTACCAGCCATGCCGTCACACTGAAACGAAATTACGTTTTTGCACGGCGGGAGTTACTTTTTGAGCTGAAGCACTCGCTTTTGCAAGCAACGGCCGTGGGAAAACTATATTTGGTCCTGCCTGCCAGTCTGCACGTCGCTACAGATATGGAGCTTCCTAAGCTGAAACATAAGGACAGCCGCATGTTCATCAACATTCCAATTCTTGTTTAAAACATACGCTACTACAAGAAATTCCTCATTAGTTCGAAGGCTGCTGTGTCTAAGTATTGATTGCCTAGGTCTCTCTTGGTTGGCTTTCTTTCGAGAGGGACCCCGGTACATGAAAAATCTGTCGCGCAAAAAAGTTGGTGAAGTGAGCTAAAGCAAATAAGGCAATGTCTGCACGCTGAACCCGCACAGCACGCTTGTGTCTCGAGTTCAGTCGTTGCACAAAGCGCTCCAAGAACTTTTTACCCTGACTCGCAATGTCCTGCATCAATGCGCTCAGGTTCTTTTTTTTTTTCTTTTTTTTGTATGTTTAGCTTGTACCTTGCCTGCCGGCCTTGCAAGCACGCGCCGCTGAACTATTTCTTGTCGCATGCTGGGCAGTTACATTTTACATACATTTTTGGAGACCAGTTGGCGACTGAGCGTAGTGGCATGGTTTCGGTTTCGATCGAACAGCCGTCTTCGCTCGCGCGACGAAGCATGTGCAGCTGCAAGCCTGCCGAAGTTGCCTTGACGTGCATGCGAACATCATTGCACGACAGAGGCACCAGCCGGGACGCTTGCAATCCAGTGTTTTAGGTTTACTTTTGACGAAAGTCTGGCACGTCGGGAATCGGTAAAACGGTGGGAAGCAGTTTTTCCAAATTTTTTGCCAACGCCTAAAGCACTGTACACTTGTGGGGTGTCTCAATGTCTCTTTGGAGACATTAAAAGTGGAAATTCATTACTAGCCTAAGCCAAAGCAAAGCTTGCAGCAGCTTTGCTGAAAGTTTTGAAAAGCAAAAAGTACCCACTAGTCGTACAGCACCATTTTCTTGTGTGCAATTTCGCATTGCACTCCAGTAGCTATGTGTTTCATCAGTCGGGGACTGCTTCCATTTATTATATTATATCACTAGTCAACCTGATGCTGGGATATTTACTACTAAGCTGGTCATTTTCAAACAATTTGTATTATGTGAAGTTTAGTTCAAATAAATTTGAATATGTGAAGTTTGGTTCTTATCTATCTATTGTGGGTACATATATAGGTATCATTTAACTGAAGTATTGCAAAATCTGTCATGTCATTGACATTTCAGTTACATCTTGAAGCACTCCTAGGTGGTCGAACTTGACTATCATTCGTTTATTTCAGCGAGCAAAGTTCCCTTCGTTTGTGCAGCACGTAAAAAAAATATTTTTAATTTTTTTAAGAATATCTGCTCCGAAAGCTATTTTTGGTGCTCCGAAACACTGTTCTGGCTGCTCCAAAAGCCATTTTTCTGCTCCAAAACACTGTTTTGGTTGCTCCGAAAGGTGCTCCAAAATGGCTTAGGCCAATCACATCACTGCTGTCTTGCGTAGTTCTAAGCGTGCAGCTACCTATATTTACGGCAGAGGAAGTTTAAAAACAACATACCTGGATTCTTGAGTGCAAATAATGCCCTCGGGGTTATCCGGCCTGTTGGCTCTTTAAGCACAATCAACGCTGGAAACTTGACTCCCGCTGCCGGTGCGCACAAAGCTATGGTCATAACCAGTTCCATAGGAGTCGAAACAGCCTTTCTGAAGACTGCAATCGCTTCAGCGTAGTCAGTGGGCAGCTTTTGACTTTCGTTTGTCCCAACCTGCATGGACAGGTCGTGGCACTTTTTCCAGCGAGCAATGTTCTGGCACAATGCTTGAAAGTTGCCCAGACCCATCTGTGCTGCTAGCTGTCGCGCGTGCTCTTGGAGAAGCCGGTTGCTGATGGCTCGATCGGCTGATCTCTGTCTCCAGGAAGTCCATTGATGCGTCGTCAATTTCTTCGCTGAAAACGGGTCGTCCAGTACCCATCATTCTCTTTAGCTTGATGTTTCCATGGCACTGCTGCACGAGTACTAGGTATTTCGTGTTCCATTCCCAAACACGCTTTCTGTCAACCTCGAAGTGGTGGGCAGTCTTGCTCACGTTGAGTCCATTCTTGTGGTGCCTCTCCACGATTTCCACCTTCTTCGGATGGTGTAGCTGAAGCTCATCCTGAGACTGCATGTGAAATGTCTTCACAGTTCACTGGCAGATCGAGGAATGAGATGGCCAGGTCTGTCTGACCTAGTTTTCCTCTGCGGTTATCAATTCAGACGATTGGATGCGGGGCACCGAAAGAGCAACCTTGAACCTTTGTCACGTTTTGCCCCCTTACCACTTTATCCACAAAAATGTGACCTCTTCCCTTTGTAAAAGAAAATTAAGGGCCTCAAAAAAAAGGTACTTGCGTGTTTTTGATTTTTGGGAATCGCTATTTCTGGAGGGTGGGCAATGTATCGGCAGAGTGACTGAAATAGATATTTAAACAACAAAGGGGGTGGGTCATGAATCGGGTGGGGGTGCCCTTTCGGGATTTTACGGTTCTGATAACATGCAACAACTTATCAATTGTACAAATCTCATTCTCAAAGACTCCGTGAGACTTAGTCTGGGTAAGACATGGTAGAAAAATGTCAAATAATGTGGGGAAGCTTGGAAACTAAAACTGTAGTGCCGAGGGGCACCGTAAGTACTCTGGTCAGTACCCACAACCTTACTCGTGGTCCAAATTGACGTCACGGGCTATATAATGTGTTTCACCCTCCTCCACGTGGAGGTGCAGGTTACGGTGCAGCACCCCCCGCAGCACCCAACTGCCCGCCGGGCCTGGAATACCTGACTGCCATCGACCAGCTGCTGGTCAAGCAGAAGGTGGAGCTCCTCGAAGGTACCGACTCTACCAAATCCCTGTACCGTCAAGTCCTGCCCCTGCAGCCATGCCCATTCCAGTATAGAAAAATTCACAGGGTCTCTTATGTTAGCCCTAAGACGACTTGAAGGCAAAAGCCCAAGTGCCGATGCATTGAAGACAGACACATGATTTACTTTAATTCAATTAAATGAAATTCCTCTTAATTTGCTTTTTCGTCCCTCTCAATTTCATTTGCCTCTAACTTGCCCGAGTGGTCACGTAAACGTTTTGATACCTTGACGCCGACGTGTTTTTGCTCAAGGACTTTGAAGGTCGACTGAACGATGAGACATATGAGGCTTTCACTTTAAAAAGCCATGGCCGGCATGCGACTGCAACCGAAGCGCCTAAAAACTATGAAACCTTGCTAGCTCGATTCGGCGTCGGGCGTAGATTTTCACGACAAATTAGGGATGGTCCGAAAGTGATTGTCGTACCAAGTTATTCCTTGGCACGTGCCCAATTTTTATGAGGGCCCGTGAGTTGTATTTGAAGGCATCCGGTTTGAGTTAATGTTTTATTCGAACAGGGACATAATGAAAGACAACCAGCAGCAAGCACAACTGGGGGTGCGCTTTCCATAGCCACCCCTAACGGTCAAACGTGAGGTTGAAGACACGTGACCAATCTGAAGAAGTACAAGTCGTGCACTGGCATGATCTAATGATAACATGTTGCAATGACGCAACGTTTTCACTGTTGCAAATGGCAGAATTACCAAGGTTACTCCTAAGAAGTAACAGAGTTACCCTTCACCCATATTTTATGAGTGTGTTGAGTTAGTCGCAGTGACTCCCAAAAAGTAACTAGCTTGGGTTTAAACTTTCATTTTATATACAGGGTGTCACAAACAAAACTTTACACGGTCTTTTTTACCGCAAAAATAAACTAGGCATCGCCGAACGCTCATTTTCCCCTCAAAGGTAGCGCTAGAAATCACAGCCAGATGCCAAAGTTTCAGCCCAATCCGATAACTTAATCACAAGTTATAAGTGATTTTCTGAAAATTTCAATGGGAAAATGGAGCCCATTTCTGCCCGTGCCCCATGTGTTCGAAAACTCAGTCGGCCGCCATTTTCCCGTTGAAATTTTCAGAAAATCACATAACTTTTGATTAAGTTATCGGATCGGGCTGAAACTTTGGCATCTGGTTGTGACCTCTAGCGCTACCTTTGGGTGGAGAATGAGCGTTCGGCAATGCCTAGTTTATTTTTGCGGTGAAAAAGACCGTGTAAATTTTCTTTCGTGACAGCCTGTACAATCGCCGACCGATTTTTGGGACTTTGCAGGGACTGAAAAAAACCTCCAAATAATGGAGCAGCCCGAAAAATGCAGCAGATTAAAAAAACTTGCCTTTATTACGTCTAAGAAGGCTTGAAAAGTGTGGTTATCATTTGAGCCCGTTCTCGTTTCGACCTTCTCACTTGGCCCTTCTCAAAACAACCATTCTCAAAAAGATCTTCTCTCTTGGACCTGTCGCATTTGGTCCTTTCTCGTTTCGTCTTTCGCATTCCAACCCTCCTCATTTGGGCCCATTCTCGTTTCGCCCTTTTCACCTGGCCCTTTTCAAAACAACCATTCTCGAAAATATCTCGCCTTGACCCGTCGCACTTGAATTGTCTTTTTAGGGTAATATTAATACATTGATACAATTTGTGCGTGTGTGTGTGTGTGTGTGCCACATTACAGGCATACTCTCTCTGCTAAGGATTTTAACAGTGCGTCGAGGTCGTCGTGAAGAGCTACTAGCTGGCAATAAAACAGACCAACTATTTATCGCAGCCAGATCATTTTCCGAAATGTCACGTTGTTTGAGGTCTCTCGACTTGGGACAACGCCACCACTTCTATATTGCAGTGGTTTTCAAAAGGGGGTCTGCGAAGGCATCCTAGGGGTCTCTGCAAAGCCCTGTTTCATCAGTCAGGCACGGCAATATTAGTTGTCTTTCTTCACGTTGAGGAGGCACGTTCCAATTTTCGGGAGAGTGCTCTCGTGTGTATGTCAATGAGATAACTCCATTTCACACTAGCAATTAGTTATATCCATTTATTAAATCATTCTCATGATAACCTATACATTTCTATTCCCCTCACCCCGAACGAGGTCCTCCATCATCTCCGCCTTTCTACAAGGGGTCCGCGAAACATCAATGGTTGAGAACCACTGCTATTATGTATGCTATTTCTGTTCAAAGTTTCCAAATTTAATGTTCATCATTCTTTTTTTCCTCATTTGCGTAGAGGAAGAAAAGCAGGCGTCAATGTACGATTATTAGTGCATACCTCTACACATAACATATATCTGATGGTATGTTGGGGGCCCAAGCAAGGTAAGGCTCATCAAAAGCCGCGAAGGCATAACAACATTAGAAGCATGCCGAACTAGTGCCATTTAGTCGTAGTGCGAACGGGCGAAATGAGAATGGGTCCAGTTGTGAAAAAGACGATTCTGATCTTATGAGAAGGTTCAAACGAGAAGGACCAAATGAGAATGGGTCGAAAAGTGCAAGGTTCAAATGCGATTTGGACGTTTTGAGATACACCCGCTTGAAAAAGCTGTGAATAGTGCCAGCTTCAGGTTATGCCTCCATTTGTGTTTGGCAATTTTGTACTAGCTTAAGAGTTGCTGCCTACTTTTCTAGCGTTATGGTCAAGTACTTTCTGCGCTTCTTAGCAACACATTGCGGCAGCGGAAGAACAGATGAGGCAATGACATCCAAGCCAGCATAGCCCAAAAACACGGTACACCGAGGTGAGATAGAGATGAAAGGCGCAAGCCCACAACTGCAGTGGCGAATGAAGAAAGTAAAAAAATAACAGCGATGTTGATGATAATGGTGCACAGCTACGGAAAAATAGCCGTGCATTGTCACCTAGCAGTAAGACTTAGCACTCCTGAAGTAGCGCTGCCAAAACAAGTCAATCCATGTACAGCCAACATATAATCCAAAATGGCCGCTTCTCGGTCGTGTTTCCCGCTGATCTCTCGCGAAGATTTTGTCCGAAAAATTGAACTCTCGGACTTCAAGCTGTCCGAAACATTGGGAGTGAATATGCACTATTTCTATTGGGTAATGTCACGGTTCCTCCTTTAGGTCTGAAATATCAAACCAGTCCGAATTTTTGGCATCCGAAAAATCGGTCAGCGACTGTGTCCCATGATTTCAAGGTGTGCTGAAAATGGGTACCTGACATTTCATCAAACACCATTTCATCAAAGTGCATTTCATCGAGCGCCGATTTATCGAGCACCATTTCATCAAATCTGTTGATGCCGTTTCATTGAATTTCACTTCCCCAAATTTTGGAGCATTACAGTGCTTCGTAAATGTTTTACTCTTGCTTCTGAGTTGTTTTCACTCCGCCGTCGAATCGGCAGAAAAAGAATTCATACCGCTGGCTGCCTCTTCACCAATATTATGGTTAGGTACTAAATCATAGAACATAACAAAACTTGAGTCGTAGGGGACTTGTTGTTTTCGGGTAAGGTAAGCGGCTGCTCACCACCTCACACTTTGTTCCCTCTTCATCCCTCTAGTTGTTCACGCATGAGAAGTACTTCCTGGAAAAAAGATAACAATAAAAGGTGGAACGAAGAATAGTTTTAATTTGTATTGCTATGTTTACTTGTGTTTTCATTCTGTCCTAGGAGAATGACTTCCTTTCTAAGAACATAGGTCGAAATCCCGGCAGGTCCACGGTTCTGTCGATTATGAGAAATTAAGAAAAAGGGGATACACATGTTTTTGTCTGTTTCATGCGACATGGAGACAGGTCATTGCTTCCAGAACTGCTTCGTGCTTGAAGCACAATACGTCCATTCAAGGACGACTATTAATTAGGCATTCTAAAATACCTGATTAAGCGAAATTTTAGTTTAGGTTGAAAACTGGCTACCGGATGGCTAAAATATTCTATTCAAACAAAAATCAGGCACAAATGTGTTTCATGCAGTGCGCATTGCCTTAGATCTGCGCAGACATCAAGCCATCATCACACCCCGATTTTAACGAAATTTACAATGAACAGATATTTTCCATATTCCTATCATACTCTTACGGAAAATCGTGTGCTTTTCTTCCTTTAAGCAATGTAAAACAGAAATAACAGAAAAACCCAAGAGGTTCTTTGGTGATGCACATGACTTAAAGTTTGGCAAGAAAGGAGGCAAAAAAAACAACTAAACATTCTCTAAGCTCTGAGCTTAGACAACCCACTCGTCTTCCTTTCAACCTGTCATTGTCTGGATGTGCTTCAAAGACTTCTTCCAGTTGTCCAACTTTCTTCCAGTTGTCCAACTTTCTTCCAGTGGTCCAATTTTCCAGCAAGACCACCAATAGCTGCAAGAGTTGCAGTTTCAAGGAGTTTGTTCCTCCAAATGGGGTGTCTAAGCTCTTTTGCGTATGTGCTCTGCTAATACGAGCAACACCTGCTACCTTTTTCGGAGCTTAGCGAGAAATGTCACCAAGAAGTGTTTGACAGCAGACGACAGCCTGTGACACCAGAATTTGAATTAATTCTTTTGTGTGTGCAACTGGATTGCCTTTTTTACTGTAGTGCATGGTATCGAGCCAAATGCTGGGGCACACTCTCTCCTTCTCCAAAGGTTGTTTGTATAATGTTACGACTATGCAGTGGCTCGAGCTACTATTGCCAATGGTGCTGGCTTGGCTATGGCTAGCCTTGGCTCTTTGTGCGAGAGCCTGTGCCTGAGCCGTGCCCCTCGTCTCAATTGCTTGCAGCTTTCCTTGGGTTTGAGACACAGAACAAGTACACCATCAAGAACAGCATGGGCCAGAAGGTCTACCACGCCACAGAAGGCAAGTCTGACGTGCTCAGTTCCTGGCCCAAGACGCTTCTCTGTGCCCTTTGGCAGTTCTAATAGTGGGATGCATGGGTTCCCCTTGGTTCCACTTTTAAACATGACAGTCTTTCGACTGTCATGTTTAGAAAAGGTATCCCAGATGACACCGACCAGGTTCTAATCTGGACATAGTATTTCGTTGCCCCACAAATGAGTTAAACACAAAATGAATGAGTTGTGTCGGTGGCACTGAATTTTATTAACAACATTCCACCCTTTCATTCTCCTAACTCTTATAAGCTGTGTCATTTTCGGTGATTGCCGTCGGTTCTCGCATGCTCAATTTGGGAATAAAAAGACCTTTGTCGAAGACATCTAGAAACCATGTTGAATAAACCTGAGACTGGGGCAGAAATGAACATATAAGTCGAAAGAACAGAAAAGGACAGGGCAGGAGACGTCATCCTGTCTTTTCCTGTTCCTTCGACTTATGTGTTTATTTCTGCCTCAGTCTCAGGTTTATTCAACATGGTTAACATTCACCAGCTCACGTGCACCCTTACTATATTGTCGCTAATCAACATCTCGAAAACAATGTAAAGTATGTTATGGTACAGTCAACTCCCGTTTATACAAAGTTCACGGGGACCGCCGAAAGCTTCGAATTTAACCGCAAGAAACAAAAAGGGTAATTTTTATTAGTTTGAAAACTGACTCATTTATGAAAAAAAAATCGGTGGTTGCCGTCTGCTTCTTCTTGCAGAATCTTGCTGTGGAAAGTAAGTTCTGCAGACTGTAGATGTGCCCGAGTGCTTCTTCAGCGATGTTCTCTGCTGCGAAAAACGGCTGCACGAGGGCAAGGCCCGCAGCTACATCAGCAGGCGGCAGTTGTGGCTCAGTTTCAACGTCGTCGTCTTCGATGTCGCTTTTGTTGCTAGCCTTGCGTGGCCAAACAATTTTAATGATTTCAACGTCCTTCAGTGCACCGCTTGTTTCCACTGTGCTGTCCACGGCAACATACTCTTCAAATTGGACGTCGCCGAGAGCTGCTGCAAGACCATTGTCGTCAAGCTCACTTGTCTCTGCTTCCTCCGCTGGGCAGGACGAATCACCCCCTGAAGCACTTGCTATGAAACCACAGGCCCTGAAGCAGTTGGCAATGGTTTCTTCTTTAACGCGTCCCCAAGCTCGCGCTAGCATGTGCATGGCACTTAGAAGCCTTACCTCGCACTGAGTGGAGTTATCCATGCACAGTATCATTCGCTCGAGAAGGTGTTTTCTGTACAACACCTTTACATTTTTTTATAATTCCCTGGTCCGTGGGTTGCAACACCGATGTCATGTTGGCTGGCAAGTAAGCAAGGCGGATGGCACTCGGGGACGGCACATTTATGTGGGCACTGCACTGGTCCACAAGAAACAATACCTTGCGGTTTGATGATGCAAACTTGCAATCCAGATTTTTTGAGCCAGTCTTGAAAAATGTCCGACGTCATCCATGCCTTCCTATTAGATGCGTAGTCCACGGGAAGCCTTCTGAGGCCTTTCAAACACTGAGGCATAGCGGTCTTCCCGATCACCAGCAGGCGACGTCGCTCAGCGCCGGACATATTGGCCGCAATCAAAACAAACACCTTGTCTTTACTACATTTTCCTCCAGCGCAATCATTGTTTTTGAATGTCAAAGTCTTCTCTGGTAACATCCGATAAAAAAGTGTGGTCTCGTCGGCAGTAAAGATATCTTCCGGCTGATGCTCGTTCATGTACTCGCGAAGCTTTCCTTGCTTCCACGTCGCACATGTTTCGTGGTTGACTGACGCCTTTTCTCCTCTCGCACTCTTAAAAACGAGGTCATGACGATGCTTGAAGCTTGTCAGCCATCCATCAGAAGAAACAAAGTTGTCGATCCCTAACATTGTTGCAAGAGACAAGGCTTTTGCTGCAACAATTTCACCACTGAGGGAAAGTTGGTTGCTTCGTGCTTCCCTAATCCAAAGGAGCAGTGCTTGCTCGAATTCCGGGTTGGCGCTGGTGCATATTCTCTTTCGAGACATCTTGAATTGATCATTCCCAAAAGCATCCAGTATCGAGCGCTTGTTCTTGATGAAGTTTAAGAGGGTGTTAGGCTTGATGCCATATTTCCGTGGAATGTCTTGCTTGGCGGCGCCTCCTTTCTCAACTTCTTTCAAAATCTTGACTTTCGTGGCCAAGTCAAGCGTGCGATACAATCCACGAGTTGTCGTGGTCGCGACTGCAGCCGAAATGGGGCACGTGGAACCACCGGTGGAACAAGACCACGCACTCCCGCCCGAACCAACTCGAGGAAAGACGCGGGAAGAGGCAAAAACGATGCCATTGTGCCAACGTGCGGCTTGCGCAGGTCTTGACTGTTCAATCTTGCCGCTTCCTGAGCTGCGGCGCTGTGGTCGGCTGCGATGCCAACGATACCGATTCGGTACACAAAGCTATTTTTGCGCTTTAAAACTGTCACATTGATCAGATATTACGGTTGCCTCGAGGCTTTCGATTGAAAATTAACTTCTAATTGCCCGATATTTTAGACTTTTCGCTTCCAATTACCGAGCATTTTTTTCCACAGGATTGCATGCAGAACTGATGGGGTCCTCACTTCCAATTAATCGATAATTCCAATTAAGCGACTTTGAATCATCGGGAGCCGACTCTAGTTCTCTGCAGCCATGGGTGTCCAGGGGAGATAGGTTTTTGTGTGAGGATTTCTTTGTCTCATCTAGCGGCCCTCAAAAACCTTATCGGTGCTTATGTTTTTCCGAATCATACGCTTCTCTACACCGGCCTCTTCTAAAACATATCGACTAAATTTTATACGTCCTTTCCATCTGCCAAAAGAGATGAGCCAAAAATTGATGGCTTGCATGTAAAGAAACCGGTGTGAGGGTAAGCACTCCTGTGAGACTTTGTGTATACGCTCCTGCTTTAAAGGCTTCAATGGGTGACTTCTAGCCGGAGCGCAATTCCACAAATGCTGAGATGCTCCGGTGCTTGAATGCTACAGTGACTCATAGCCAATAACATTGTTCGCCAAGCTCGCGTGTAGTGTCTTTGTAGCCCTGAAAAGGAAGCAGCTATTTGACTCTCTTTATTCTTAATCTCAGACTTCGGAGTGCAGATTGATCCATTTCACGTTGCATTTATGCACCTGACATATCTGCAATTATTTTCCTGTACAGATACTATTGTTAATTTACAGTGAGTTGTGATGCAATCAGTATGCTCTGTGGTGCTTGTCCTCTACCTGAAAGGCAATGCTTGGGTACATCATGCACGTCTCCCTCTGAGAACGTCCTACTGGGGTTGCTTATACTAATGTAGCGACAAAAGCAAAACTGTTCTGTTTTTGGTGATCTATGGCGGCCCTCTTTTGCCTTCTCGGGTGGCGTGGTCGTAATCGCGATTACTCGTGTATACCCATAATATTTTATATATCTTGTTCCTGTCCTAACCCTGAGTCGAAGCGTTGCATTAATTTTCCAAGATTCTTTCAACACCTAATAATCTCATTTAAACCAGATCTGCTGGAAGAGACTCCTGTAGTCCCTTCTAACCGAATGATAGACTTCCTTGCGCTACTCCATTCATCCCTGAGCTGACACTGTGGCGAAAGCTATGGGCCCGTCGGCCCAGTTGTACGTCCATCTTTCACCACCTTGTCCTGCTCCCGCTCATATCGACATTCCGAGTGCGGGATCAGGTGACGAAAGGGAATGTTTGATTGTTCTGGCAAGCACCTAGCTCCCACCGCACCGTCATCTTACGAGTGAATAGAGTGTAACATTGGCTTCCTAAGCAAACTCGAGGTTTACCTGGTTTCAGGCTAAACTTTTGTGAAACCCTTTTTATTTATATATTTGAAAAGACTGTTATCCCTCTCTCTCGAGGGCCATTACAGTTAGTGTCCAAATGACTGAAAAAATGTGAATGAGAGAAAAATAGTCTACGACAGACAGGTCTTCAAGAAAGTGAAAAGCAGAAACAACGCTAAATATCAAATTCGTAGCAAAAATACAACAACAAAAAGGCATAAAGGGACACACTGAAAACAATCTATCACGATAAATATCACATCAAAGAAAGTAGTTTGCATTTTTATTTATTAAACAGTGCAATGATGGATTGCTCGAAGGAGGATACAATTTTTATACTATTTAAATCTCGTTCGACGATCAATTTCAAGCCTCGATGGTCTTCACAAAAGCTAATTGCTTAAAGGTGTGTATTTGGCCCATGGTACAGTTATCCCTCAATGCACTTTGTCACAGATGGTCTTTGTAGCTTCTGAGCCATAAACCCCCCCCCCCCCCCCCCCCCCAAAACCGTCGTCAGCTTTGAGCGGTCGCACAATTTGAGCGAGGGTTGCGTCCGCATCGCCGCAGACACGGACTGCTGCACGCGCAACTGCTGCGGGCCCGCCCGTCCCTTCGACATCAAGGTGGCGGACAACAGCGGGAACGAGGTGCTGCACTTCCAGCGAGACCTGCGCTGCACCTCCTGCTGCTGCCCCTGCTGCCTTCAGGTGAGGGCACGGTCCCGTCGGCGCCGAGACGTTTCGGCGCTTATCATCGGGTGCAAACACCAAGTTTGACGGTGCATGCAAAAAAATTTAGGCGCGTCTCGGTCGTATCCGATCAACTCGGAGATGCACAGATCATGTTGCGAATGAGCTGGGCACATAGTATGTCTGTGTGTGTGATGTCGCGCGACGTCGTGTGACGTCACGGTCACGTGACCCCACTACGTCACGACAGGGTGTCGTGGAAAATTACCCTTACCTGGAAAATTTTCCTGCCAAATTTAGCGGGGAAATTTGACCCTCGTGACGTCACATGGGACGTCAAGAGGGTAAAGTGACGTCTTGTGTGAATGAAGATTTTGGTCCGTTTCAAAAGGAGTGTTCAGAATGCCGACACGCTTACTATGGACTTTGACATGGATTATGACCGGAGTTTGTTCTAACAGTTGAGACTGACGAAATTTGAATGAATATTAGGAAACAACCGGTTTATTGAAACTTGTGAACTTTGAAGCGTAATGACTTTTTATTGTGCTGTACCGGTGATCATCATCACTGCGTGCTTTGGGTTATACGAGGCTCATGAGGCACAGAGTTTGATGACAGCAGTGCGCAAAATGAATGCCATCGCTACCGAACCAAAGCTGGTAATGTCAGAAATAATGACTGCTGCTGAAGAGCAGCAGTCATTATAATGGAATGATGAACTGCTTATGAACTCTCACATACTAGTCCATTATATCTGAATGTATGTCATAACAGAATCTAATAAGCGAAGTTGGCTCAATGAGATAGGAAGACCAACCAAACTTCACAAATTGGTATATGATATAACTATATATCTGCTGTAACCAGATCAGTTGTAACAATGTTCTAATATATATATATATATATATTTTTTTTTTTAAAGTTTTCTGCCATTGCTTGGCATAAGAAATAAACCTGGTGTCTGGTAAAACAAAGGACGGTGTTTTTCTCGCTGCAAAAGTAAACCGTTCATTGCCAAGTGCTTGGTCTTTCCACTCAAATGTAGCGCTAGGATTTGGAACCAAATTCCAGTTTCAGAACTTAACTTTACCCAATCCAAAAGCATAAGTGATTTTTTAGAAATTTCCACCGAGGACAGACGGCCAATGAAGCCCACAAATACAGGGGAGTTGAGCGGCACCTGCTACCCAGAAGCAGGCTCTGTTTTCTCATTCATAGTTCCAAAAACTCTGTTACAAATTTCTAATGAGATAAGGGTATGGCCTGAAACTTTGCTAGTGCTACCTTTGAGAGGAGACTGAGCATTGGGTGGCACATAGTTTATTTTTGCGGCCACGAGGAAGATGCAGATTTTTCTTTTCACAAACACCTGGCACAGTGATAAACGCAGAATGGGTGAACTGCAGCAGTCTGGCACAAAGCTTAATGTTGAGTTAGGTATAAGCATGGTCTTCGGATCAACTACTTACTAGTCTGGAAACTTTAGCAGCTTCCACCCTACTAAATGTTGACACTACAAGCGGCACTGATCAATGTAGAAAATAAATGGTAATTTGTTTTTAAAGCGGACGTAGCCTCCTTAGTAAGCATTTTGATTATTTTGGAACAATACGACCCCCAGGTTTCGGGTATAAATCGCGTTTCCAGTTGTCGCATCTTTCTGTCACCTCCGTGGGGTTCTACGAAAGAGTAGATGCAGCGGCCCCTCCGAACCCACTTCCATTCGTTAGGTTCACCGGGCGGTCTGATTGGTTGACTCCTAATGACGGTGCTTCAATTCGTCCCCGGGGAAAGTTTTCCCATAGCGTGGCGAAAGGATTCCAGACCAGGTATGCTAATCTAAGGACCGTGGCATAAGGCACCAGGTCCCAGATGTTGGTTTTCTCTCCCACGATTCAACGTTTTCGGAACTGGAGTGGTGAGGCTGTTCGACTCTATACTTTGTTTTGCCTTACGTCTGGCTGCAGCGGGTGCTCCGAGCCGTCGGAGCCAATCCAAGGCCATGCGAGTTTCCTGCGACCTTGGAGAGGAAGCGCCGTGACGTACGGAAGGCATAGTCACTAGTGCACCGTTCGCCGTGCTGAATGGGCTGGGATGAAATTCGAATAAAATTAACTGTGGGGCTAGTTGGCTACTCATCATAACAATTGAAAAGCGACAAGGACAAGGGTTAGAACGAAGCAGGACATGCACCTCCTGTCTTGACAAACGTTTGTCCCGTCTTGTTTTACCTCTTGTCGTCATACTTTGCGCTTTTCGATTTTTATGGCTGGGATGGCCCGTGGCTTCCACCTCGGCCGGACGTAAGGGGAGCGTACAGGTGCTCCCAGGGGTGAGCTTCTGCAGTCCGCGCTACAATCCGCCCGTGCGCCGCGCGTGCAGAGGCTGGAGGTGTCCGCCCCGCCGGGACGCCCCATCGGCTGGGTGGTCCAGGAGTGGAGCATCCTGACACCCCAGTTCCGAGTGGAGAATGCGGCCGGCGAGTGCGTGCTCAGGATCGAGGGCCCCATCTGCACCATGAGCATCTGCGGCGACGTCGAGTTCAAGGTGGGTGCGACGAGGGGCGTCTCTAGCTGGGTCGCCAGAGAGCTGTCCAAAGAGGACAAGTTTTCTACAGTCGCAGCATCTGTTATACTGGAAGTGGAGGTATCCCTCCAGTTCCAGTCTGATTTTGTGCATTTCCTTTTGCTGGTGGGAAAAGCTGCCCTCCACTTGCATCTTTAAACAGAGGCTTAGAGCGTCCTTGTCACATGGACAGCCAGTCCCACACTCTTCCTGGCTATGGTTAAGGCCTCCGCCGTTGTCGTCAGTCCTCAATCTCCCAAAAACAGGAAAGTGGAAGAGACGGCAGTGAGGAGGAAGGCCATGCTTTTTATGTTAATGTCCAAAATGAAAACTAATGCATGTGCTGCAACTTTAACCTTTTCTTTAAAAGAGAAGTCGGCTCTTTTTTTTTTTTTTTTGGCCAAGCACAGCATTTGGTGTGTCCCGTTTGGACTGCCCTTGACGGAGAGCGTATCCAAGTTCGCACATACTGTGTCCAGCATGCGAAGGTTTCTGCGCCAGGAAATCATTTTATATTTCGTGCTGCAAAATATGAAGTGATCTGATTCATTTAATAATTTTATGGCACAAATATCAGTTTGAACCTATGCATTTCATATAAATCATTCTGCTTGGGGCAAGTCTAATTAATATTAAATAATTAAACAAATAGGGTGTTAAATCGAATAGCGCTTCGGCATTCATAGCCTTCACAGCGCTGGGGAAAATTATAGATGCTATCTCTAGTGTTGGAGCTAGAGACAATGCTGTGCTGTTCACTTTGAAGCACCATTCGTGCATCCCTAGGCAGAACACATGTTCTCTTAATGGGAGAGCACCCTCTTATCTCCTTTGATCTACGCTCTGCAGCAGCTGTGCAAGGGCACTGCCATAACCAACCTTCGGTTTTCGTTTCCTATTATTCCGTTTACTTAGCATTGTCGTTAGGGACAGGTTATTGCCAACTTAGATTTTACTCTGCCCTTGTCTCCAGCATAGGCCTTTGTGGAGGCTCTTCAGCGCCTGCTTCAGTGGTTCGGTATATGGATAAGACGAGAGAAGGTCGGCAATGCCGGCCGTGATCTGGTGCATGTGTAAAGAGTTTTTACTCAATTTCATTGCTGACAGAAACCTTTTACACCAGCTCTAGTATACTGGATATATAAACCTAGTGAAATGGATAATTGGGCGAGTTGATAACAGTTCGTCATAACTTGCAGCATGACTGGGACAAGGACAGACAGACAAGAGAAAATGCAGGACATGTCATCATCGTCGGAAGCTTTGTCGGCTTCGTCGACATCCTCACAAATTCGCAACGATATCTCACTGACACCATTGCAAAATGGCAACAACAAGAAACGAAAGAAGGTGGAGACGGGCGAAGCGACGAAAGACCAAATATAATGAAGGGAGCACCGCTGGGAGCCGCTGTTAGCCGCCGCGAGCCGCCGTGAGCAACAAGAAGTGAAACCTCGTTCTTTTCTTTTGCTGCGCGTCCACAACGGGTAGAGCGATGGAGGGGAGGGGAGGGGGTGAGGTGCGAAGCGCATTATGTACCCCTTCCCATCTTACATCGTGAGGGGCATTCGTGAGCGGCACCAGCCGCGAAACCTGACACCCGTGGGATGGACGGGAGTGGCGGCCTGCCAGCTGCCGCTGCTTCGATTGTTTTGTGCACCGAAAGCTTTCTGAAACAAGAAGCGGCACGACGCTACGCTGCTACGACGACGCCGGCTCAGTGACTCATTAGCTCCAGCTCCATGCGCTCGGTAGGATTGCGAAATTTGGTCACGAATGTAGGCAAAATTCTCTGGTCGTGATTGTAGGTCGACCCTTAATTTGACATTTCCGGGAAAAAGAAGGTCGACTTATATTCTAATAAATATGGTACTCTTTCTTCAATTATAACTAGGGCTCCGTATTTTCGGACAAATCCGAAAAACTCAGAAAAACATCCGCCGGTAAAATTTCTGTCAATTTGGATTTATCCCATAAATTCCGAATCATGTGCTCATGCCACCCCCCCCCCCTAACCCCACCCTCACCCCCACCCCCACCCCACCCCTACCCAAGGAAAAAAAAAAAAGTAATTTTATTTTTTTTACAATTTGAGCAGCGCAGAATTAATGGTCCTGGGAAAATGACACCATGATCATCTTTCAAGCCTCAGACAGGTCTTACAGCTTGTCTCGTGAGGGTTGGTTCAGGGAAACAGGTCATCGTACCATTCGTGTCACGACAAAAGCCACTCTTTTGGTTTCCAGCTGGGCCATGGGATTTGGGACTGGGAGAAAGAAGAGGGTATGTTTCTGCGGGTAACAGTGAAAGCGCATGGACCATAGAGATTGTATAAAATAGGGAAGAGGGGCAGTTGAAACTTCTCTATTACATCCTTAACCACTTCACCTCGCGTGGCCAAGGGATAGATTGATGGGATGACTACGAGCTTCCTTGCAGCTACCTCCGGCAGTTTATTGATCTGAAGGTATCGACGTTTATCGAAGCCACACTTGAGTGCAACTTTTGTTGTGGGACAAAATTAGTATTGCCAATGACACCAATGCCAAATTCAACTGAAGAAATCTTAATTGAAACAAGCGCGTTTTATTTTTGATCTGGCATATGTTTACATCCGGTTATTATTCATTATTTTTTATTAGGAAACACTGTGAAGTTTATATCTGAACTCCGGATAATTGGGGATTTACGAAAAATAAACTCTGATAAGCACCGAATTTTTGCTAAAAAGTAAACTCCGAAAAACACCCTCCGAATTTCATGAAAACATAAACTCCAAAAACATGTAGCCCTAAATATAACCCAGTTTGGCACAGTACTATCCTACAAAGCCACAAACCCTTAACCATCATTATCTACAGACTGTGAAGATAATTACTGGGTTTTGTGTTTCGGTCAATACCAAAAAACCTCAGTGAAGCCAGTGGTCTTCAAACAGTAGGCTGCCCTGTTGTTTTGAAGACCGGTGTCGCATGGAGATTCCTGTGGGGAAAAGGGAATTGGAACTGGACCCTCCTTTTTAGGAGTCTTGCAAAGTATGTTCTGGATGAGAAATTGTTAGTAATACATGTTTGTTTTAAGTGGGGCTGTTATAGGTGGGCTTGACTCTACTAGGGTCACGTGCATATTCAACGAAGATTGAGGATTCCTGTGCCTTTGTCCCATTCGCTTCAACACAAGCCTCGATGAATACCAATGTTTGTTCAGTGCCCAATCTAGACCACCAAAAATTGCTCCCAAATTAAAAAAAAGAAAAAATCCCTGAAAACATAAAGCCCTAATTGCGTTAATCTAGTTTTTCACCGCACTGCTTACTAAGCTCCTGCATCGTGTAACCCGTAATTATCATTGTCTCCCGAAGGTGAATATAACCTTATTTAGCGCAGTATGGCCTATGAGGCCTTTGTGACGCGAAGCCCTTGATCATCGTCGTCATTGCCGTCGGGCAGTGCGCTTTTGCGAACCGGAGGTTTAGTGACCTCACGCATCACCCTGGCGTGCCCTCCCCCTTGCAGGTGCTGTCCAAGGACGGGTCGGTGGAGGTGGGCAAGATCAGCAAGCAGTGGGCGGGGCTGCTCAAGGAGGCCTTCACCGACACGGACAACTTCGGCATCAGCTTCCCCATCGACCTGGACGTGCACATGAAGGCCGTCCTGCTGGGGGCCCTCTTCCTCATCGTGAGTCTGCCTCCTTTTTGCGTCACAAAAGCTGGTGCATTGTGCCGTCTATTGTATTTTCACGCGTATGCCCCGCACCCGCCTCTAACCCGCACCCCCAACTTACTACTCTAAGAAAAAAAACAAAAAACCTCACACGTTACCCACACTAACCACACAAAGCAGTGTCTGGATTTCACTAGAAACGATACCTTTATTAACGCAAATGCATTAACTGTCCCATAGAGCGAGCCGACATCCTCAGTTTGAAGCGCAAAAACGGCACCTTAAATCCTTTCTCCAAGTGAAGCCAGCTCCCAGCCATTAAGCCACGTGAAAAGCCTAGACAATGGCACCCAATTTCCCTGATCCCAAAGGAGTGGAGTAAAGCTGATGGATTTTTGGCTTCAGTCCCATTGGGAGGCGCGCGTCGACGAGATTCCCATTGATCACTGCGCATCAGTTTCAACGACAGCTCACTCCATGGCGCTGCGTGTCTGTCAGTGCACCGTTAACATGGAGCGCCCAAGGTCAGCGTGCCCAGGGGAGCGCGCACGCTGACCGGCGACGAAAAGTATGCAGCAGACGAAACAAGGGAGCGGACGAGCGGCTTGCATGCTTTTGCATTCACAACTCGTAAAAAGTGCTTAGGTGTACCTCAAGCCTTTTTCAAATACACTCGTCGCTGCAGCTATCTGAAGTGCCTTCACCATCGCAGGCGTTGTCGTAATCCATGCCGTCAAGGCGACTGCTGATGCGGCACTTTACGAAACTGTTCCGCACCATCTCGTCTGGAAAACTTGCGGTTGCGCCGGATCTCTGTCGACACGGCGTGACCGTGACCTCTTCTCTCCTCGGTGAAATTCTCGTGAGCTTTTTCCAGCTCGGTGAATGCGCCAGTCTTTGGACAGCAAGACGATCTTCGGTCGCAACTTGCAGTTTGCAGGCTCTTCTTCCTTCATTCTCGCGTGCATGACTCATCAGCGTCGTAGCAGTTGTAGTTTCGGCCTGCCGCTCAATTTCTGATCTCTTCGGTGACGGATCTGACGACGGTCGGATTCATTGCCGAAAAGACTGGAAGCCGCGAAGATTGTTGCCATCGACGGTAACGTGCGTTCGATGGCAACGATGCTCCGTGCGTTGCCGTCGAATCGATGGCTCGATAAGGCCGTTTGGTTCGCAAAAACAATTAAAAAGTGGCTACCCCACGAAAAAAAAAAGTAAAGTCTGGAGAAAGAAGTTTTTATGAGAGACCGAAGAAGAGGGACTCTGGGGAATCTATTTTTTCGATTTCGCGCTCGTTGCGGTGAAGCCGAACTGCCCACCGAAATTCGTGTATAACCCATGTAAAACCCGCATCAAAATTTACCATGAAATCAAACGCTAAGTAGGGGGTACTTAGCGTTTGATTTCATGGTAAATTTTGATGCGGGTTTTACTCGAGAAACTATGTTTTATGTGAGTGCCGTAGCTCATTTTCTTCCAGGGATATGAAATTGAAAAGCTTGAGGCATGGACATTGCTTAGGTTCCACTTGGCACTTTACTCAGCTGTCAATTTCACACCGAAGCACGCACGTACAGTAATTCCTCATTATAACGAAGTCAACGGAGCGGAAAAAAAAGTGCAATATACCGTAAGCAGTCGTTTGATAAAAGGGATAGAGCCAAAAAAACAGTGCCAGCAGCCCTCGAGGTGGATTGGAACACTGAGGGACACTCTGACCATATATTTAATCAAACAAACCTTGGTTATGAACAATAAGCGGCAGCTCACCGAGTAAAACAAATAATTAAGTGGAGTTTGCCGCTAATTTCATCCGGGCATCAGTACTCCTCGAACTGCTCCAGGCATTTCAAAAACACTGTGACCGCTGCTGCACTCCACCTTGTTTCGAAGCAGCCATAAAACGTTTCGTGTCTCCGCACTCATCGGCGTTTCCCGAAATGCCTTTCTGACGTCACTTCGTGTTTTCCCTGGCCGCACGCAAGGTCTACGATTGCAGCATTCGTGGCAGGTGCAACGACGGGAACATCCGCATCAACAAGCGTGAACAAAAGAGTTCCTCGGTGACTTCGCCGACATGTTTTCACACCCTCCTGTAGAGACTGTTGCAGCTCTGGGAATAGTGCGCCGGCTCGGCAGGCATGCGCGCCAGAGAAAGACCGACGTGTGCAAAGCAGTTGACAGTCCTTCATCTTCGGGTCGTGGGCGTGCTCTTTCTTGCCTGAGAAACTTCTTGAACCCGTCGAGTAGGCCTTGCTTGTTCCGTAAAATGGTGGACAGCGTTGACTAGCCGGGTCCAGAATGTCGAATTCTTTAGTGATTTCAGGCTTGGGCCGGCCACTTTCTTCCACCTCGCAGATCTAAGCGACTTTTGGTAAACACTCCCATACGATGCACGTGTGCGTGTGGATGCTGCAGGGGCACCTGTGCAAGTGCGTGCGTTAGGGGCTCCCGAAGGGACGATTTTCTCCAAACTCCACCGCTCCCTTGACTTGATCCCGATAGGAATTGGGCAGCATTGGTCGCGTGCGCTGTGAGTAGCGTCGGAACGTAGACGCTGCTCCCACTGCTAACTGCCCGCTTTGGTGCATTGGCATCGGAAGCAGCGCCCTGCCCTCCGTCACTCGTTTCTTCCGTTTACTTGTTTGACGTTTTCCTTACGCGTCTGTGTAGGCTTTTGTGCTTTCGGCATCTTGGCTTTCGTAATAAGTGTGGTCGGCCGCCAATGCACTTGGAATAATCCAGTTCAAAATGCATGCATTTCGGTCGGGACCATGTTGAACTTCGATAAAAGCAATGATTTGAAAAAAGTGATTTCGTTATAAGGAGGGATTGCTCTATAATCATTTCTCTAATTTCGCTAGATTTCGTGGAATTTACCGAAACAACTTAGACTCTCCGCTAAATTGAGCGGTGAAACGTTTCCCACTAATTTAGTTCGGCGGAAGTCTACCAATCAGTGAGATACACTTTTAATTTACACCTTTGCGTCGCACTATTCTGTTCCTTTTATGCATTTTCCTTTTTTTGATGCATTCCTTGTATGAAACCTGAGCGCTCTGGCAACATGTGTTGTGTCTCGTCTCTGCTCTCATTATAATGTAAAAACAGCGCAAACAAACACGGACGAAGGAGAAGAAACACGCAGACAGTACAAGCGCTGACTCGCAACTGAAACTTTATTACTTGAAAAAGGAAAAAGAAGAAAATAAGATAAAAACACGCACACCAGGAAGACCCCAGGGGTCTTCCTGGTGTGTGTGTTTTTACCTTATTTTCTTCTCTTTCCTTTTTCGGTCTTCCTGTTGTGTGTGTTTTTACCTCATTTTCTTCTTTTTCCTTTTTCAAGTAATAAAGTTTCAGTTGCGAGTGGCACTTGTACCGTCTGCATGTTTCTTCTCCTTCGTCCGTGTTTGTTTCCGCTGTTTTTACATTATGATCAACGAATACCAACTAGCCCAACTCTCGGCATTAATTCTGCTCTGATCCCCAGGACTACATGTTCTTTGAGAAGGCTGGCAACAAGGAACAAGACGGCCCCGGAATGCTGTAGCGTCTCCTCGACCCCGCAAGCCTACCCGGATACTTTCCTCCCTTCGAGACACGTTTTCTCTCGCGCATGTTCATCGTCTCAGGTGCCGTGTGCCCTCACTCTTTTACCACATTCACCGCCATGTTCACGGGTGTGTGCGTGATACTCCGCATCACTCTCGTGAATCACCTGCTGTCTCTCTGGGTTCTTCGGTGTGACCAAACATTTACCGTGACGAGCGTAGAGGGGAAAAAACCTGCCGATAGTTTCGGGAAGCTACTTCTTCGCATGCTTGTATGTTTATGAGAGGTGCTAGCAAATGAATGCACGTCGTTCCTATTAATCCAGTCAGAGTGTCTACCAATTAGAAAACCAGGAATTCGGCAGATCTAGAAATTGAGGAATTATTTCTACCCTGGTTAGCAATGAACAGGGAAATTGTGCTTTTCTTTCTTTTAGCAACAGAAATCTATATGTGCGTTTCGTGACATACGTTGAAGGCGACTCTGTTGGCTTGCTGAAACAAACTTCTGCTCAGAAACCAGAGTCTTGAGGCCACCCAGACATTCGACCCGAATTATCTCTCGAAACGTGCACCAAGATTAACTTCTCCCCCCGCCATCATTGCATCTTTGAACGGTGCGGGCAGCTCCTCCGCCTAATGGCCTCACGACGCGAGAGATCATCTTTCGAGCTTCCTCCCTTACTCGTAAATGAACCATTTCTGCTGGCCGTTCCTAGCTTGGTGGCCGAGTTCATTTTTGTTGCTCAGGCGAGAACATTTCAAAGTTCAAACTGGAGAAGCTGTCAGGTGTGACAATATTTTCAGATAAAAGCTGCACTTTAAGACACACGCCCTCTCTTCTTAGGGGTCTGTCGAGGAATTTCGATTAAGTAGTCCGGCAAAAACCCAGGAAAATCGGGGAATTTAAAAACATTCTTTTGGTAGACACCATGTGGTGCAACCTGGATGTTGAAATTCCACTCGTTATATCTTACTCTTTTTTCGACACTCCTTTCATTACTCGTTGAAGTTTTACCCTCCTAAAAATGAGTTCTAAGTGACAGCCCACATCTGCCAAACCAGTGAAACAACATGAAAATTGTGCAAAACTTACTTAGAGCTTTTTGCAGTAAGCAAATTGTATGTTGTTTCTTTGTACAGTGGAATCTCGTTAATTCAAACTCTCTTAATTCAAACTAACATGCGTGTCCCATCCTATCTGTTTCTAGGAAAGAAACTCCTGGTAATTCAGAGTTTGCATTACTATTCAAAGGTTTGGTCCCCCTCAGGTTCAAATTACCGAGATGCCACTGTACTATTCTAGTATAAGTGGGATGCTAGTATAAGTGGGATGCATTGAGCATTGCTTTACTTGAAGGGTGGGGTTCTAATTTTTTGTCTTTTCAAGAACTTTTACAATGAAACATGGTGCTCCATTCGTGTAAAATGTTTGATCTAAAAGTGTTTCCTAATTTCTGAATGCATTCTTTTGTCATGTTCCATGATCATTTTGCGTTACTGTATGACGAGCCTTGGTGATTTTCATTCTTCTGATCCTTTGTTTGCCAACATAAAATGAGATTCTTGTTTGTCGAATAGAGAAGTCATTTTTATAAATGAGAACCTTTTAGATTGGAATTCACTGTTTCTTTGAGGTTTACTGGAACTGAGCCTTCAAACTGCAAGTGCTCTCGAAGAGAAATTCGAAATCTTTCTGTAGTCGCTGGTCGCCTCCACGCTACGAGTTCACTAATATTTCCCCAAAACAGTTCCTGTATGAGAATCTCGTTTACGTATGACGGTCTTATTCGTTTCAGCATGTTTTGTTGGAGATGTTGCTATGTTTTATGTTCTGTAAACTTTCCTTGAACCAGTGTTCATCTATCTGTCAATGCACACGCTTCGAGCATACTCTAGGAAGTTGTGTTGCGATAGAACTTAGTGTGCAACATGGTCGAATGTGATATCTTGCTTTCTCTGAAACTATCTGGTTATGTCGTATGTCTGTCAATGTTGCTTTAAGTTTTGGTGATGCTCCGATACTGATATGAAATATATACTATGCCTGCCGAGCGAGAAATGTTACTCGCTAGCTTACCAGAGCGACCCGTCACTAGCATTTTGAAGCATCCTGCGATCTGGTATTGTTGCTTTACTTGTAACTGCTTCAGTACCCTGACCATGCCAGATGAACGTTATCCCGTAATGAAGGTGCTTTGATCAAGTTTAGTGTCTCCAAGCATGTGGTCTTCTGGTCTCTAGCCAGCCGCACTATCAAATGTTTGAAAAGCATCAGTGTGTGGTCCTCTCTGGCCAGTTTGCCGTATTGGATGCTCGATGCTCGGCTTGGCTCGGGTCGTATATAGTGTCCGCAATATTTGCGCAGAAGGCCAGACTGAACAAAATGGTTAGGTTGCTGTGAAATTGCAACACCTGCTTTACATGATGCGTGAATTGTGCCACGAGCTCCAGTGAGTTTCGCGTTGCTGTTACATTCGATGGCTGGCCGCTCAACCGACTTTCACCGTCATACCCTGCCCAAGCCATTGCGCAACCACGGCCGGGCTAGATTGCATAGCTGCACTCTCTTATGGCCTTCGCTCGTGACTGCGGCTCGATAGAAGTAAGGGTAGGGTCATTGTGACCCTATCCTCACTGCAGCGCATCAACTCCTCCTGACCAGGCACCACAATCTCCCTGTGTTGGCCTCTTCGCTCTGGGATCAAGGCAGAGGAATTTCCAGACTAGTTGTGCCCATGGAACATAACGCCGCATGCTTGCAGAGTCTTATGCGTAACACCTCTTTCTTTGTCTTCTCAATAGACACTAGTCTATAAACAAATGTTTTTTACAGTAGGTACAAAAATTTCATTTAGCACAAGGATCATGTGATGGGCTAGTTGGTTATGCATTACGAATTTAAAAGTAGCGCTAAAGACGAGGACAAGTAGAAGACACGGACAGGCGCTGACTCGCAACTGATATTTAGTGAAGAATAAAAGGAAGATAAACTCAGAAGTGCAAGGACATATACGAAATGAAAAGGAAGACTAGCCAAAACGAAAGCAACAATTATTTCTGACTTCAAAATTAAGAAATAAGAAAAAAGTATGGTAAAAATTAAAAAATTACACTAAAAAAATTTAAATGAAAACCTACTCCAATTAGATGAAAGAAAGAAAAAGAAAGAGGAAAAAGAGGACTCTGAAAATTAATCTAGTTATTTTATACGAGGAATTCGGCGCAGATTTTCAATCGCGGTGGTCGGAATAGTTGTCCAGGATGGCTCTGGCGGCACTGGAAAGGGCAGCGTAGTTGCGCCCCCACGCAGCTAGAAAAAAGATAGTTGCTCTTAGGCTGGAGCGAAGGCCGTAAGAAAGCCGCTTTTTAGCCCTGCCGTGGCACGACATCGAGGCAACAGAGTTTTTATATAGACCCGAGAAATTGGAGTTTATGTAGTTTTATTTTTGCATAGTTGCATAGCCCACCCGGCTGCAGAAGTCACGCATTTGCCCCGAAATGCAGAGAGAACTATTTTGACAGCTTGTTACGCAGTGCAGGATAGCATAGTTGTATCTGCCAGATTGATGTAACCTCACTTTCGTGTGACCTGCCCTTTGGACTTTGCTTTCTAACCTTTTTTGCTGTTGTCACATTGTACCATGTTTCGGCACAAATAAATTGGTCCATAAAGTGTTACTGTCGGGTTATTCTGAATTTACAAACCAAGGGACTCGAATATCAGCGATTTTATTGTTCACAAGCGATTGGGGGGGGGGTCCAGTTTTTCCATTCGTGCAATTGTGATCAATTCCAGCTTGCCTGCACCTTGCTGCATCCAAAGGAAATAGGTAGCTGCACCAACCAGCATTGATGCATTTTCCAGTGAACTAATTGGTTTTTGCGAGCGTTTTCGTTTTCATCTGGCAACCGTTGCAACTCGGTGAAAGTGAGTCATCGCAGTACAACCCCGATGTCCGGCGCTGTTGCAGCCATTGCAGCTGCATGATGACACCACTTCTACCTTACAGCCCTGATGCAGCATGGTTTAGTCAAGCTCAATGGCTTCTTGAAGTGCACTACTGAAGAAGATGAAGCATAAGTAATGTTGTTTTCCTGCTTGCTCGTGTGAAGGAGTGAGAAACTTTTGTGGTAATTTGCTCGCAGATGCTTTTTATTTCGTTAGCGTGCTCAGTAGGTATGTTTTGTAACAAATTGGGGTCTTTTTCTTGTCAAATTCCATAAATCCTTGGCCTCATTGAACATATATGTATTAGAGAACCCAGAATATTTTTAGAGATTAAGCTTTTGTTTAGCGAATCATCCTAGTTTCAGATTTTACGAGATCTAGATCATGACCGAGGAAAAGCAAATCAATTTTTACGTTAAATATTTACACGGTTGGAGGTTGTCAAGAAGTGCCATCATGAATAGTATATTTGACTCAAAGCATGCCTTTACGAGTTGTGATGTTAAAAAAATCTGTATTTTTCATGTCGTGCAAGAGGTCTGCATAGTGCTAATTTACCTCTATTGTATATCGGGTTGGATTAGTACTCTACTTCGATTTTTCATTGATGGTAACACACTTGCAACAAACCTGCTAACCTCGTTTCAGTAGCACCAAATAAAACAAAACGCAAGTTTGTGTCACTCTTTTCGCAGTCGTAGAGGGCAGCTTGGGGTTTTCGTGGGAATCGCGCCGTAGTGACTACATGGATGTACATCAATGAAAAGTGGAAGTTTGTCTGCTTCTCTTGCAGGGGTTGTGGTGATGCAAGAACACCGAGCTCCGATTAGCTCTGATCGGAGGATAGTGGGTCGAGCTCAATGCTAGATGCCTTGAGGCCTACCCTCTATCCTTCCAATTGGAGCTCGGCGTTCTGACGTCACCGCAACCCCTGCGCAAGAAGCAGGCGAACTTGCACTCCGCATACCCCTGTAGTCGCTGACATTATGAGAAAAAGCAGGGAGGAGCTTCAGTTGTCCCACCTCCGGCGTAAGCACCTTCGGCAACGCCGGGGCGTCGCGTGCACCTCGTGCGGAAGGCCAGGCATCTGAAAGATGTTCCCCGTCGTTCCCATTTTGTTGATGACTGTGATGGGAAACTGCGCCGAATTCCTGCTAACTTACGTATGCAGTGCTCCAGAGCTTCTCCGAGATGCAGCGACGGAAGTGCTGTGCCAAATTGCGCCACAAGCGAAAGTTTGCTACATCAACGCACCAAAGTGCCGTTTTTGCTAAGAGTTGCGCTGTGCTTGCACCGAGACGAGTGAAGCAAAAAAATTAAAATATTTTATTGTTGATCGACTTTAATATTCGGAGAAGTGGGATGAAAGAAAAATGACACAAATATGTATTTCAAAGGATCCCTACTCAACATAGTTTGTTTTGCCTTGAGTTGGAGCACAAATGAAGACTAAAACGGATACAACCACGAACACAGTAAAAGCACAAGTCACGGGACATTCACTGCACTTGATTGGTTTAGCCAATGAAAGAACACATACAGGCTGATGGATGAATGTCATGATGTCGTGCACTTTTAATCATTTTTATTTATGGCCTCAAAGTCAAGGGAGCACCAGACGGAAAGCTACCGGAAGCAGCTTGGCATGCATGCAGGACGACCATTCATGGATACAACAGTGAACTACATATAAAAAGAAAGGTATGGTGAATAATAAAATACAAAAAGGGTGCATACTTGCAACATTTAACAGCATTATACAAAGGAAAACAAACAACAAAGTTCCATACACACAACTTCAACAAAATAAGCATCTATATACAAAGAGAAAATGATGCGAAACAAAAATTGTAACAACTTTTAACAGCAATATATGAAAATCAAATGAATGTCAAAGTTAAGGAAGTGCAACTAAAACAAAATGAAAATTATGTTAAAGTTGCATAGTAACCAATTTGGACACCAATATACAAAATGCAAATAAATAAAGTAAGGGGATGCAAAACATTGGTTTCCCCCTTTTCCTTAATTAGAAAACAAAATAACACAAAAAAGTGATTGACTTTCTATATTATAAATATCAATACTATTCATAAAAAAAACTTTCAGTCTTTCCACTCTGGTGAAGAAGGAAGACCAGCGAAGCTGTACTGCCTTGTACTCATAGGTCGGCATTTTAAGCCGTCCTCACTCAAACTCGTGATCACCATTTTTTCGGCAATCGGAGCTCATGCCCACTCACGATCACGATTTATTCAAAATAGGGTCATCACCCGGACTCGCCCTCACGGTTCAACACAAAACCAAAACTCATTCGCTGCCCCATCATCATGGTCGTCACGCTCACAGATCATCACGGTCATCACGCTCACAGGTCATCCCAAATCATCAGACTCGCAGGTCATCAGACTCACAGGTCGTTACACTCGCAGGTCCTCATGCTCACAGGTCATCATGATTCATCAGACTCGCAGGTCATTCGATTCACAGGTCGTCACACTCACAGGTCCTCTCGGTCCTCACGGCACTCACACTCACAGCTCCTTGCGGTCCTCACAATCGCAGGTTATCATGGTTATCACGCTCACATGTCCTCACACATCACGGTCCTCACACTCGCATGTCCTCACACATCACGGTCCTGACGCTCGCAGGTCCTCAGACTCACGGCTCCTCACGGTCCTCACACTCGCACAAGTCCTCACGCTCATCACGCTCACACAGGTCTTCACGCTCATCTTACTCACAGGTCCTCACACTCACAGGTCATCACGCTTACAGGTTGCTTTCTTTGTGTTTTTTTTTCTCGCAAGCCGTCGGTTAGTTTTCGCGTGAGTCGTGCGGCGGGGAAACTATCCCAAAACAGTAAACTTCTGAACCGCTTATTCAACATAAAAAAAATGTGCTATGTTTATGTTTATGCTCCGCACATTTCTACCAAATTTCGTTAACCTGAATTAATTACGAAAGAAACTAAATGCAAGCGGACGAAAGTGGGTGTGTTGAACATTCGCCTGCTGACAAGGGCGGTGGTAAAACACAAACGCGCCTTCCGACAGGTTACACAAACAACGTCGCAATGATTAGAGCATCGCCTCGCTACGCTGTGTATACCTCGCTCATTTGTACACAAACAATTACTACATTCATCACCCCCGTTTCTTTTTTTTTGTTCCACCCACACATTGTTTTACGGAGGTTTATGCAGCATATATATATACATATAGTAAACATATGCATCGACCTTTTTATTTTTTCTGTTTTGAGAGGGCGTTAATATTAGGTAGGGTGGTTTCACGTGACGTACCTCTGGTGTGAAATCTCGCCACAATCCCTGTTGGCAGTGGTGTCCGTCAGTCGTATGCCATTCTATGAGCAGAGGCCGCGGAAGCAGTTTTCCTTCTCACTCGAGTTGCTTCTGCTTTTGTTGATCGACTGTGCTTGCCGGAGTAGGGTGCGATTTAAGGAATCATCGGCCGGCATTGTTTTTCAGTCATCTCAGCCTTTATAAAATACTGTCAGCATTTATTACCTTGATACATGCAGCCGTCCTTGAATGGACCTCTTCCGAGAAGCGTTCTGCACACGCGCGAGCGCCCGATGCCAAGCGGTGGAAGTCGGCACGAAAAATCGAGGAAATTCGGAATGAGGCTGTAAATCGACGATTAGGACACGTAATTGCAGCATATATATAATTGTGTTACACAAAAAAAGAAATTGGACGAAAAGAAAAACGCGACGTTTGGGTGGACGCTACGGATTTCCCTCTCTAAAGTCGCGTTGGGCACGCAACGCTGCTTAGAGAGCGAAGCAACTGGTAGCGTAGCTCCCATAATCGATTGGTAGCACAGGTAGGTCACTTCCTCGATTTTTAGTTCGTGGAGCCACCGCCTGGTGCTGTCGGTATTTGGAAAAGGTCCATTGGTTTCTTTTGGATTGGTTTGGCATGGCTTTGCTTGGTTTGGTTTGGAGTGGTTCGGGGCTGTCCCCATGCGTCTCTTTGTCAGGCTATATCAATTCTTCGACAGTCGATGCTCGACAGAGCATGCTACGTTTCGTGGACACTCTTTTTTTACTCGTATGTCTAGACGACATTTCTCTTTCTCTCTCTTTCATTGACGCGGCGTTGGCTTCTTGACGTCTTTCGTTCTTCGCATGTTCGCAGCGCACTTATACGGCAGGGTGGCCAGATACGGCCGAGCGAATAAGCAAATAGTCATCCCCAACCAAGCCCAAAAAAGGCGTGACCTTCGTGAAGAACCCTCAAAAAAGCGGAAGTTCAATAAATGTATGCGTTCTTGAAAATAGTTTATTAATAATAAAATGAGGAAGGGAACTGGCTTAAATACGAAGGCGAACTCGCTCAAATACGAAGTCAGGGTGCCATGCCACAATCCGCTGGATAGTGGCATGGCACGCTGAGTAACATGCCAGCTTGAGCTCCAGTTCTGGTATCGAAGTCGGGGTGCCATGCCACTATCCGCCGGATAGTGGCATGGCACGCTGAGTAACATGCCAGCTTGAGCTTTGACTACCATAGGTTTAGCCTATGGTAGTCAAACGTGCACTGGAAACTGGCCAAGAGAGTTCCTCACGTGTTGTTTTGTTGCCATGTGCTGAACGAGGCTGGCATGATGAGCGCGGGTCTCGCACTTGCACGCTGCTTTTTTATCGTCTGCGGTGACTGGTCGCAGCCAGTCCTTAAGCTGTGTTTCCTTTTCCCACTGTTTACAATATCTTTTGGCATACTTCGACCACTTCGAAGCCATTTTGCGCAAAATACAATGGCAAGACACGACGACCGCGACTGCTGACTGGCAAGATGGGCAAGGCGCCAAAACTTTTGTGAATGGATAGTAATTGTTTTGTACTTTGTGACGGACGGTAGCTTGCGCCACGTAACTGCGGCGCCAAACGGTCATGTTGTTTTTTGCGTTTTAACGACAAACGCACTGTCAATGAGCCATGACGAGCAATAAAATAATATTTGCGGAAAAAACGCGAATAAGCCCAAAAAACACGACAAGCGACTGGAAAAATCTACCAGCGACTTGGTGAAAAAAAAAGCCCAAATCCGCTTATAAGCAGAACTGGCCACCCTGGTATACAGTGTCAGCTACGAACATAGAGATCATACATGGCTACGGACGGCCGCAGGTGGCACAAGCGCAAATGCTTCTCACCTTTTGTATGCAGTGCGCTGTGCGCTTACGTTGCTGGAGTGGTCCGTGCGGCGTGGCAATCTTTTGGATATGTTTGGCCCACGGTGGCTGTAACCGTAGTTTGTCCGTTTGGGCGTGTGCTCGGCCTGTCTAGCGGATATTTGTTTATGTAAGAGGAGAGTGCCCTATGAAGCTAAGGCTGAGCACTCGGCAACGAGACGGCCAGACGTAATTGTTGCTTTCTGTCATGTTTTTGGCTGCGTGCACACTTGAAGCTTGCGAGATGCTGAATCGTTTCAAACTTTTTCTAAAAGGGATGTTTCTCGTTTTCTCGACACAGTAATGGACTCGTATACCGCTTATATTTTTATAGGCTCATGTGAGGCTTATTTTGTCCCCAGTAATGCACGCAAAATACCAAAACTGATGTTTTGCATTCTCGTCTAGCTAGTGTTCCGAAAAAGGTAGTGACGTAGAGGTTAACCTATCGGTTTCAGTAGTCTTTAAGAGTTGATGAATGAGGTATTGACATTGTGGTAGCTTGTAGAGTCGGAGCTTGTGGAGATCTATCGTCTACGTCGTCTTTGCCATTGGGCAGCTGACCGATTCTAATTGCTCGAGCTCTTGCTGGAAGCGCAATCCTATTTATAGTATTCAACGGTGCTCATCCGTGTGTATTGAAGTGAACATTTCAGGCCCGACATATCAATAGTTTATTGTTATCAACCAGGAAAACGCAATATCTGTAAACACCTCCCGACAAAGAAAGAAAACAAGACTCGCCTTTCGCTTTGACCAATAGACCGATCTGAACAACCATGTCACGTCGTTCGTGTCGTTTCTGTCTTTCTGGTAGCTGGGAACGCAGATGTTTGAACCGGCCTTTATGCTCCTACTTTGATGTTACGCTTGAATGTCACGAAAAATCGGTCTTCCCGCCTTTTCGAGGTGTCGCCACGGGTAGGACCAGGTAGAACTACTAGCGGGGTCTGTTTAAATGATTTGTTCGGCACACAAGCGTCAGTATGTCAGTATACAGGTTATGACTTTGTCAACACTGCCTGCAGCCTATTCCAATTGTAAAATAAAATATCGAAGGCGCTTTCATGTTTTAAGTGTGCGTGCTTGCACGACACGAGGTGTCACAGCTTTGCGACCGCAACACCTCACGCGGACACAATGTCCGCCCATATCGAAACTGAACTGGGCGGTGTTTTTAAATACAACATATAGCATTATTTCGCGCATTTAGTTCCCGGAAATTAGCAGCACATTTGGGAAGTTGAAGTTGAGTGGTATTTGTTTTCATAACTCGCGCAAATTATGACAAACGGTTTCTCTAGTCATTTAGTTGCACATTAACAAGATATATTATAATTTATGTTACATAATCATCAAAACCGCGGCGTTTCTGTAATCATCGGTTCGAGACAGATTCTCTGTCGCTCAGTTAACAAGTATTCATTCAACGCCGTAGCGCACTTCACAGACCCGCTGATCAATCTTGCCCTCTGCTATACCATTGTAAAATTTCATTACGGGCTTGAATCATCGCCATTTGTGTCATAGGCCTTCAAGCGCGATAAGGAGTGTTTCAGAATTGAATTGTAAAAAGTTGGTTATCAAGTATATTCTTTTTTTTTTTAGAAGAAATTCTTACCTGACTTCGAGTACCCATGCATTCAACCATACTAACGTAAAAACGCAACATGAGTAAACAACGGGCAAGGGGAGCAAGGGGAGCACAGCGTCATGCACGAAGCCCGAGAGCTCGGGCAATTGGCGCCTCGGAGTCGCATACAGCCGGCGCGTTGGCAACCCGGCCGTGGCCGTGGTGGTGGTGGTGAATACGTTTATTTAAAGAGAAAAAAAATATATATCTCTGGAGACTCGAAGTTTTCATGACGCGGTGGCCTCAAGGCTTGGCATCGTCTCCTCGGTTAAAGGTGTTAGATGGAGTTTCCCAGGTCTCCCTCAGAAATATACTCTAAGAGAGATCTGAGGATCCTGGTCTTGCGTGAGGTGTCGCCCGCTGGGTGCGTCCAGTCCTGCAGTTTTGAAGGTCTTTCGTCATTCGCCATCTTACTGAAGATGAGTGTTCTGAGGGTGGAGAGGGCCACACATTCCCAGAGTATGTGTTTAAGTCTGGGAATGGATTCCTCGGCTTGACACCGCTGGCATTTGGGGTCGGGAGGGACAGCGTAGGGTTGTTGTTTCTTAAGTCTTGCCAGGTCCATTTGGTATCTGAACCTGGGTGTGACTGCTCCTCCTGTGCGTATGCGGCGGAGGATCACCGATTCTTTTCTCTTGAATTCTTCCCTAGGGAAAGGATGTTGTTCTGGGGTCCATGATCTTGCCAGAAGATGTTTTCGTGTCTTCTAGGCTAACCTGAGTTCCTCCCTTGGATCGTATGGGGGAAGCTCAGAGTCTTGTTGCTGTGGTGTTGAGCCTGCCGTGGAGGACTGAGACAACAGGGACGGTTGTGTGAGATTCCTCATCGCCTGCTGTGCAGCCTCATGGGCTAGCTCGTTGCCCGAAATGCCTTCGTGCCCGGGAGTCCACTTGACATTAATTTGAATTTTCTTGGATCTGTATAGTGAGATTGCGAAGGCGAAGATAGCGTCAATGGTGGGGCTAGAAGAGGACCTGTATTTCTTGAGTTCTCTGATGGTGTCTTGCGAGTCGGTATAGACGATTAGCTGTTGTTCGTCTTGTAGATGGGGTACTGCCCCTCGGATGGCTTGCAACACCGCCTCCCGTTCGGCGAAGCCCGGCGTGTGGTGGCCTCGAGGGTTACCTTGAGTCTCTGTCCAGGTCGCATTCCCTTGGATGTATGTGGCTGCTGTTGCCCAACCCATAGAAGAAATGCTGGCGTCCACATAGGCGATCATGTTTTTTTCGTCTTCAACAAGCTTAGCCAGCTCCTTCTTGTGCATGTGAGCGTAGTGTTCTCGTCTTTTCTTGTGCCGCGCAGCGTCCATGTTTCTTGGGAGAGGTTTGCACCAGTGAGTTACGTCAATGAGTTCCCACGGCGCTTTGCTCGGCGATATGGGGGCCTCTTCTTGTATCTCGATTCCCATGTACTTAGCAATTTTTCTTCCCTCGGTTGTATGTTGTAGACGGGATAGTTGAGCCTCCTTCTGTTGGTTCATAAGGTCTGTGAGTTCTGGGAGGAAGATGCACTTGCTTACTTCCTCTGCCGAAGTGTGGCGTGGGAGCCCAAGGATGGCTTTTCTTGCTCCGTTGATCATGCTTTTAAATCTGGAAAGATGGGTTTTCGTGAGCCGGTAGAATCTCGCCGCATAGGCTATTTTGGATACTAGCACTGCAGTCACGAGTTTTTTGGCTGTTTTTTCCCCAGCTCCTCCCATTTTCGTGGATATTCTTCGGACGAGATTGATACCTTGTTTCCATTTCTTGGAGATCTCGGCCAGCCAAGCTTTGCTTATTCTTGGCTTGTACCCAAAAATAATTCCAAGGATTTTAACGGAGTCTGCTTTTTGGACTGGGTCTCCCGCAAAGGTAAGACCTAGGTTTTTGTTGTCTTGATTGCGGCCGTAGATGGTTTATTTAGTTTTTTCTGGCGATGGGAACATTCCCACATCAGCAAGATATTCTTCAATGGTGTCGAGTCCCTTCTGCAAGGCGACAACTTGGGCTTCGGGAGGCCCTTGATGCGTCCAGATCGTGATATCATCTGCGTAAATCGTCGCCCTGAGGTTGGGTATTTTATAAAGTTTCCAGAGGACTGGTGCCATAACGATGTTCAAAAGTGTAGGTGACAACACTGCGCCCTGAGGAACTTCAATGTTATTTTCTTGAATGCCCCACACTCTTTGTCATATCCAGCTTGGATTTTGTAGATCCGTCCCGAGAGAAATGATTTCACAAAGTCTAGTTGTTTACCCGTGAGGTCTTGCTGCTCCATCTTGCCAATGACTGATTGATGGGGGACAGAATCGAAAGCCTTCTTTATATCGATAGATACAATCACTCGCATTTGTTTTTTTCCTGGGTGCATGTCCACGACGTCTGTGCATATCATCTGCGGACTGTCCTGTATGCACAAGTTCGGTCTAAACCCGGTTTGCGTTGGATGAAAGATGCCGAGGGTTTCAGCGTTGTGCTGAATCCGTGCGAGTACCATTCTTTCCATAAGTTTTCCCATGATTGAGGTCAAGGAAATAGGTCGGACGTTTTTGGGGTCAGTTGCTGGCTTCCCTGGTTTAGGTATTGGTGTGACCAGGGACACCTTCCATTCTTCAGGAAGTTGCCCGCTTTCCCAGATTTCGTTAAACCATTTGAGGATAACAAGACGGGTGGCCAGGGGTGCGTTTCTGAGCATGGGCACTGTAATTCCGTCTTCTCCAGGTGCACTCTTGCTTCTGCACTGTTGTATCGCCGCTCCGAGTTCCCACTCTGTGAAGGGGAAGTCTTCCGGCTTGTGTGCAGGTCCCGAATGGGTTGGGTGGTAAATGATTTCCTCCTGTTTCGTTGGGGGTTGTGGAAAGAAGATGTCTCCCAATTTGTTGAGAATTTCTTCAGTTTTTTCATTGGAGAGGAGTGCGATGACCGGGACAGGGCTGACTCCTTTCTTTTTTCCTGACATGGAGTTGAATGTCTTCCACACGTCTCTAAGGTTGGTTTTCTCGTCGAAGGACTCGCAATACCCTAGCCATCTGTCGATGGATAATTTGTTTGCGTATTTGCTTGCTTCTTCCGTTAAACGGTTGACCTTGTCTAGGTGTTTTTTCCCTTTCCCTTGTCGGTACTTTTCTAAGGCTCTGGTCCTTTTGTCCCATAATGCGAGGAGATGGTAGTCTGGTTCTGGCGTGTCTTCATAGACTTGCCTTACTTCTGTGGCAATCTTTGTAGCTGTTGCGAGTAGTGCGGTGATTTGACATGGTTCCAAGACATCTCCTTGTTCTTTGAGGTTGTGGAGCAGGCAGGGCGGGCGCCGCGCCGCGCGCCGCCGTCCTCCAGTTTTTAGTGTAAGCAGGCACACGGTACACGGCGAATTCTACGAATCCCGATGAGCCAGTAAATTCATAGGATTGAGACACGTGAGAGCGTCTTACAGGCGTCCATTCCACTGATCTCCACTAGAGGGGGCTGGATGGTGCATTGAGCAAACAGGTATGAAGCCACCGGAAGTGAGCGGCTTGTCCCGGAAGTGAGTCCTTGGCAGGCTTTGTAACCCTTCCGAGTGCTGGTTTGAAAAGCTTCGAGGTGCGCTGGATTTCCGCTTGTTCCCTCAAGAAAGCCTGCTTGTTGCGCAGTAAGAGTGCATGCGGACCCGAGAAGTATCATGGGAAGCCATTCAATGTAAACATTTTGAGATTCTAGTTGATCAAGTTGTGAATATGTCTCAAGTTCAAATGCCTCATTCTCGGGATTTAATCCAGAACGGGGATATTAAAACCCAATCAAAGACACAAAAAAGCATGGTCCAAAATATCGACTGAATGCACTAAGAAGCCCAGCGCACGCCCGACTTCCGGGACAATCAGCACTTGTCATTCCGGGACAAGCATCGAACTTCCGGTGGCTTCACCTGCGCCAGGCTCGGAGAGCAGCTAAGCGCCATTCAGCCTCCTATAGACCTTTTCCACAGGGGCGCCGCCATCTTGAATTGTCGTCACTTCCAGTATGGGCGACGACAAAATAGTAAAACGTTTCAACCTGTAACCAGTAAAAAAATAGAGCGGAGCCAAAACGAGAATGTGTGACGGTTAGGCTTATATCGTAAATGTGTTCTATTGGCGTGGCGACGGCAAAGTAATGTTTTCGCCCATACTGGAAGTGACGACAATTCAAGATGGCGGCGCCCTTGTGGAAAAGGTCTATAGACCTTTTCTGTGTACTCCCGTCCCCAGTCACCTAATAGGCGTATCCGGTATGGGCGGCGAAAAAATAATTCGTTTCAACTTGCAAATAGTAAAAAAATAAAGAGGAGGCAAAGCGAGAAAGTGTGACGGTTACGCTTATACCCTAAATCCCTTCTATTGGCGTGGCAAAGGCAAAACAATGTTGTCGCCCATACTGAATGTGACGTCAATTCAAGATGGCGGCGCACTTGCAGAAAAGGTCTATAGTAGAGATCAGTGGTCCATTCTGATGCCACCTGTCTCTATGCGACGCTCGAATAGGCTCCTTGCACTGACGTCACATCGCATACTTTTGAACACCAAGGAAAAGGAGGAGAGGGAAACTGCTTTTGTAAGAATTTTGAGTGACAGGTTAATCTTCTCTAATCTTCTGGGGGGAGAATAGCGACGCCTGTACAAATCCGGGAGGCAGAAAGGAGGATCTTGATAAGAGGGGAGCTCCTTCTTTCCCTTTTCTCTGGAGGGCATCGGAAATGACGTCATGTGCAAGGGGCCTATTGGCCCACTGAGTTATGGTGTACTAGAACTGGGCAGTGTGTCGTCCACGCCGAGAAGCAACGGAGGGAGGAGGTCGGCGCTGCGATGACGGAGCGCAAGGACGGCAGGGGGCGCTGCGGATAACAGGCGTGCTCCTTTCCGCTCGGATTGCCGTGTTGTACTGCTTGTGATTGCATGGTTCGCGTCGTCGCTTTGTTTTGCTGCAGTGTTTTTTTTTCTTTAATGATTGAGTGAAATGGATTGCGATCGGTGCCATTCAGTGGCATGTAGACAACGCGTGCAATGACGGAAAAACGGTGGGATAAGAGAGACAGGACGTGTTTTGTGCCGGGGCAGTGATTTACCCTATCTCCAATTCCTGGGGCCCGTGCCGGGCTGCAACAGTGGCTACCGGTTATGGCGCACCGTGAATTCACGAGGGCGCCCATCAAACCATTCGGCCAATCTTGGCCGCGACACGATCACATGGTCGTGTTGCCGCGGTGTCGATCGGGATCTCGAATTCGGCTCCCGACGCGCCGCTTTCTCTCCTAGCCACTGGAGGGCGCTGCAGGCGCCCCCGTGGCAGGCGAGGAGGAACCTCCTCGCCCATCGATAGTCCTCCTCCTCGCCCATCGAAAATGAGTTGCGCCACCTATAGTTAGTTGGAGTCGCGAATATCGCGACTCCAACTAACTATAGGTGGCGCAACTCATTTTCCAAAATGGCGGTTATAGTGAGGGTCGGAGATGCGGGCCGCTGTTGAGCCTGTCTAGCGTGCTGGCTTTACCGAGTGACACAAATTATTTCAGGTAATACGAGGAAGCTAGGGTATATGGGTGCAGGTCACCTCTTTACCCTGAAAACAAAAACGGTATTTAGCGTAATATTTACGCAAGGATGCGCGTTTTAATTTTGGAGCGAAACTGAAACTAATCTCTATTTTGGATTTAATTTCTCGGTATAGATTTTAATTTCAAATTCTTTCAAACCTCAAGAGGTGTCTCACATCGTAATTATTTAGTTAAAGAAGTTGTTCGCCGAAACTTTATTTTGTGACATACATGTTTCAATCCAGGCTGATATTTGTAGTTGTTAAAAAAAATCAGTGCTGATATTTGTGCGTTCTCGCAGCCTTTTCTTGCTCAGATAGTTGCCATGGGAAATAATGAGCTGCGGGCCTTTTAATGAGTTTTTGGCTATTTAGATGATTAATTGGTTTAACATCATTCCCAGCACAAGATAAGAGAATAATTCAATTTTTTACAATATGTCCCCAAACCGTATAAATTAATAAACGCTGTTCTCACTGCAACAACCCAAAGACGGAATCCGAGTCAGGCAGCTGAAGTGTGTGTGTGTGTGTGTGTGTGTGTGTGTGTGCGTGCGTGCGTGCGTGCGTGTGTGTGCGTGTGCGTGTGTGTGCGTGTGCGTGCGTGCGTGTGTGTGCGTGTGCGCGTGCGTGCGTGTGTGTGCGTGCGTGCGTGTGCGTGCGTCCGTGTGCGTGCGTGTGTGTGCGTGCGTGTGTGTGTGCGTGTGTGTGTGTGCGTGCGTGCGCGTGCGTGCGTGCGTGCGTGCGTGTGTGTTTTATAGCAACGCGTGACGCATAGGACTTTATATTACATCCAGTGTTTGTCTGTTTGTCTATCTTGATAATGATGTCAGAGTTTTCCCCGTGCTAAAAAGAAAGCCAAATTACACCTTTCTGGAAAGACTATTTTGGCGTATTTTCGTTATCTTGGCGTTAATTGGGGGCATACATTGCCGCGATTGGTATTATTAATAATATTAAAATTCAGATATTGTAATACGTAATTTTTTCAAGCGTTGCTCATGATCTAATTTTACACGCGCGAACAAATATGACAACCAAAAGTGTGCTAATTATCATCACTGGAGCCAATTGCAGAATTTTTAATTACCAAGTAATAAAATAAAAATAGTCCAAAGTCAAAGGAAACATTTTAGCTAATGTGAGAAATCCATGTAAAATTACATTAATTTCGGTTAAAGTATATTTTTCTATCAATGTCGCGACTTTTGACAATTGGCACAACGTAAGTCGCCGCCAATATCCTTCCAGACCAAATGCCCAAAAAATATTTTTTTTTAATTATTAATTATTTTTATAACATTTAGTTGCTTTCATTTTTACATTCCGTCGTTTCACCAATCTCAGCCTTTCCAGTTTGAAGGAACGCCTACTTGCTTGGACGTCTGCTCACTGCAGCACGTTTCGTTGGCGTTGGAAGCCAGTGAAACAGTAGTGAGTTTTAGTATTGCGTGTACGAGCGAACGCAAGTGCTGTGTGTTTGCGTTAGCTTTGCGTGTTCTACACTGCGCGTGCGCAGAGCCCGGAATTGCGGTCTTGGATGGCGCATGGCGATGAGGCGCACGCACAACGTGGGGCGTGCAACTCTAAAGGCTAGCCCACATGGTGCGCTTTTCTCCGCGTCTGCGTCGCGTCTGCGCCTGCGCTTTGACGTCACTTCCGGCGCCGGGACGAAACGCAGCGTTTTTTGGCGCATTCCGGCGTATCTGGAGGAGCCAGATATTTTGCGCCCACGCGTCGCGTCTCGCGCTGCGTCCAGAAGGCAACAACCAATGAACCGCCGTGTTCACTAGTTGCAAGGAGCGTTTGAATTTTCTCCACTGTTTTCGTCACTGTAGGACTGTAGTTTTCGCCACGGACCTCGCGACAAAGGCGATAATAATAATAATAATAATAAGACTTTTTATTTGCACATATTGCGATACCCACTCGGCAGCGTGCGAGGCTAGGCAAAAAGGTTGAGACCCTTACGCAGGTGGGCCTGCTAGCCCGCCGCCAAGTAGGGAAGCGGATACGGAAAGGAAAATAAATAAAAACACTCGAAAAAGAAAGATACACATACAAAAACGGGTAGCAGCCCTGTGCCATTCCGAGGCAGAGCACACGCACGCACGCACACACACACACCCGCGCGCGCGGAGTTTACAAAATTTGCACGCTCGCGGCCTTAAATAAAAACGGCTTTTAGGCCCCGCCAACGCTAGCAGCAGAGCGAACATGGGTAGTTACGTTTTTCCCCCCGCGGATATCAGTTTATCATACCTTTTACTCAAGTCCAGGGAATCCTCTCTGCTCCGCGGGAGAGGCTACGCTCCTTCATCCCAACCCAAAATTTGTTTCATGGCCCCTTTAAAGGAGCTGTGCAACGATGTTCAATTGGAATGCTTTTCTCTCTACACGAGCTTACTGGCACACCTTGGACTCAAGGATACTCACACGCAACGCCATTGGCCAAGAAACTCCTTTGTTGCGGTGTAATTTCAAGGACAAAAGCGATCATTTTCATTCAATCTCTCCTTTGCAAAATTTGATGACGTAACTCGGGGATCGCAGTACACCCAAGTGACGATATTTGAATGCGGTTCATAGATTGGACCCGAGCATTGCGTGGGCACTCGACTTGGGCTCGTGACAATTGCTAGCTCGAGAAGCATTCGGGTTGTGACGCGTGTCCAATCGCTGCAACGACGACAACAGCCGAGCCATAACAATGTCTGGAACTCAGCGCGTGTCCTGCGCTTTGCCAACCCCAGCGCGTGGCTATGATCAACACTGGCGGCATATAATCGGCTCCAGATCACGTGGCCGCTTGTTCTGGCTGCG